GGGAGTGAGAGGTTTCCAGCGCTTCTAATCTAACTCTCTGTGGAGACTGGAAGGAAGGTTGAGAGGGAAAACCAATGTCTTATCGGCAGTCGGCGCGGTGAACAAACGACAAGGAGGGGTGAGGGCCTGAATGTCTGAACCTACTAGCTGAAATCTCCGGAGCCTGACAGAATTCCTAGAAGGGTTGTATGTGTTTATGTGTGTGTGTAACTTCGCATCCGGTCTCTGGGCGGGAACTGGCGTAGACTGTGAGCGTGGGTTTACCTAGCTTCCCGCCAATTCTTCACACTCTACTCTTCAACAAAATACTCAAATTGGCATTCGCACCAGACGAAAAGCCTCTCTCCGGTAATTAAATTAGAAAGACAAACCGACGGAGGTATGAATTTCCTGAGGAGTTTTCTCTTTGGATAAGGACACATGTTTTTGACAAAAATAACTTTACCTACTTAGCACAACAGCAAATTGAAGTTCTTTAAACTGACGGGGCAAGGGGGTCCTCTCTCGACTTAAGAATCATCAATTTTAACAGGATTTAGAAGTTACTAGAACTCTCTCTTTTCAAACGGGTCATTTGGCTCGGGCAAGGGAATATTAGGAGTAAGGAGTCCCCTCCTGCTAAGAGAGCAATTTTAAGCATTTACGGCTATTTTCCGGAGATTTTTTTCAAGGCAAATTTAGCCACCTCCGAACAACCTGCCCCCCCCCCCCAAAAAAAGAAAAAACTCAAGGTACTCCTGACTTGTAAGGGGCATGGATGTTTGTTCTTTCTCTCTCTATCTTTCGTTTATCCTTCTTCTTCTTCTCTCTTCAATTTCTTTCGTTTATCCTCCTTCTTCTCTCTTCATTCGTTTATCCTCCTTCTTCTTCTCTCTTCGAATTAATTCGTTTATCCTTCTTCTTCTCTCTTCAAATAAATCTAATGTGCCTGGTTGATGAACGATGACATTCAAATTAGCTTTGACAGTTAAAAAAAAAGAAAATGAAAAAAAAAAAAAAACCCCGAGGGATTAACTCTGATAATGGTCATTGGAACCATCTTAATTATTTCCCTGTCTTCGTATGCGACGAAATAAGAAAATATAAACCAGCTAAAAAGCTTCTATCAATTATGTAAATTATCTAGGATAGCTACACGATATTGCTCCATTTTCTGGGGGGAGGGGGTGTGCGCATTTTAATTACAAGTGCCTCGAAAATCTACTTGGAACTTTCCCGAATAAAATATTTAACAGAAATACCTTAAAGGCAGTATCTATAAAAAAAAATAAAGATAATCGACTCCGATGAGACAATGTAAAGGTATACGGTGGCAAAGGAAATCAGGAAAAGGATTTGAAAATCAAGATTTAGGTGCATGTGAAAATTATCAGACTCCTGTCTCAGAAAATTTCTGACTAAGATTACTCTACAAAAAAAACTGATCTGGAAGGAACAAAATTAACTTAATAAGGCAGGAACAAAAGTTCAAAAAATATTTGTCGCGTGAATGTGAGCTTAATAAAGATGATCCTAAGGACCACAGAACGTTGAAAGGGAGGAGAATGAATCAGATTGCAATAAACTTAGGTGTAACATAGGATGAACTTGTATGCATGCTCTAAAGCCTTTCATAGAATCATATTTGGACCACGCTTAACAGAAAGGAACCAAGTCACATCAGCTATTGCCAAAAACAGGGCAATATATTATTTTTACCAGAGACCGTTTGTGTGGATTCCTCTGGAAATTTTAAGGAATTTGCTTCCTACTATGGAGAAAATCCACTAAAATTCGCACGAAAGTCCGCACAATCGTTTTCGTGTAAAAAATTAAATTGCTCAATTAAATTTGGCGATAGCTGATGTGGCTTGGTTCCTTTCTGTTTAATGCGGTCCATTTACTTATTTGACTCCAACATCTAAAAATGGTTTTCTCAAAAATAATGGTGTCTGCATGCACAGTAGGTACAAGACACTTGTCTAGTCTGGAAAAATTAGATGACAGCTGTACCTTGCTGAGAGATGAATTATGAATTAGGAAAGGATAAAGAACAATACCTAGGAGGACATAAGAAAGAACGGGGAAAGAAGACAAGTAAATTATCAGTAAACGTGAGAAGTACATACAATTTTGCAATCATGACACCAAATTTGAGCAGAATCTAAGTAAGATTTATACTAAGTCAAACCTGAATCCAGACCAACGCCAAACGTGCAAGCATCAAAGGAATAGACTGTGACCAGATATCCAACGCCATCAAATGGTCGGCACGAGTTAATCCAATTATTCGCGATAATCATCGAGAAGGAAACACAAACACAATTAAAACGCGAAGCCGATATAATGGGATAAGTACCACAACGCACACATAGCACATGGCAATACGCACCACTCACGAGGAACGAGATCACTCCCGAAAACCCGGGCGACCGATCAGTGAGTGAGCAATGGAGAAAATCCCGCACGCATTGCAGAATGGAGAAGTTCACAAAGGTATACCCGAAACACTGAAAACTACGAACATCAATCAAAGTTGGGGGGGATCAATCGCCTCGATTCAATTCATCGCACGAGCGCCGAGAACGATGCGACATTTCGAGAAGAATAGGCCACAAAGGGCGGCCAGCCGATTTAAGTGACAAATTAATACACACGAATCACGATTGTTTTCATACACATCGCCGAATAGTTTTCACGAAACACGCACACCGATAATAAACGACAAAAGTACGTAGACGAGGGTTTTGGGCATCAACTCCCAACATTCAATTCACACAGACGCCGGCCGAGCACGAGTTGGTGATTTTCAAGAAAACGAAGGACTCAGTTCACGTGACGAAAACGCTCACGATCAATTTCACATACACCACCGAAGAGTTTTCGCGAGACACACACAGCGATAATACGGGCAGAAAACTCGGTAAGAGACGTTGAATGAGCCTCAAAACGTTACAAGAGAGGAAAATACTTGAGGCCATGATGAGTGCGCTTTGCCCCGACCGACCGGACCGGACACGAGATTGACGACCGAACTGGGCGACCGCTGACGGAAATTTGAGGACCCGCGACGCGTGATCTGCAAGGGGTGGCGGGTGGGCTCTCGATCAACACCGATTTTGATTGGCCCGCGCAAGGAGTCGACAACCGAACAGACTGCATCCTGTTCTGCAGGGCTGCCGATTCGTGAGTAATTACTCACATCGTGAGTAATTTGAGCACCGGTGAGTAAAACGTGAGTAATGAGTAATTGGTGAGTAATCCGACGATCCGTGAGTAATCGTGAGTAATGCAAAATCCATGGGTAATTCTCAGTAATTCTCCATTTTTGGCGCAATTTGTGTGAGTAATCGGTGAGTAAAATTTAAAACGATGAGTAATCGGTGAGTGAAAACAATGTCAATGTGAGTAAAATCGGGAAATGGTGAGTAAAAAGTGAGTAGAATTGAGAACGGTGAGTAAAAGTGAGTAAAATCGCGATCAGTGAGAAGCAAGTGAGTAAATTTTAGATTGGTGAGTAGCGTGTGAGTAAAAAATTCGCGAAATGTGAGTCCGAGTATCGGCAGCCCTGGTTCTATGTGCCTAGGCGTCGGAGGGTCGGGTCGGCGTCGCATCAATCGGCTTCTGACTGATTTTCTTCGCCTTCGAGAACTGATAAGAAGGGCGTGTTGCTCGATTTCAGACAGAGGGACGTTGCTTCGTTTTATTCAGACCACCATGGCACCGGATGTTGAATTCATTCGGACACATGTCTCCTCCAGCCCTGCGACCAATTTCTGAGGTAGCAGATCATATTTTTCGTTTGTCAGGTCGTGCTAATAATAAGAATAAGTTATGTTTGGCCATTTTCCTTGGCCATAATTTCACATTTAGCTGTAGATTCTGTCTGCTATTAAAAAGTAAGCTCTCCTCTGGATCTTATCAGTATTTCAAGATACGTATATTCGTACTTGAATTTGAAAATAAATTAAGAAATTAGCCATGGGCGGAACTAAGAATTTTTTGTGGGGGGGGGGGGCACAGAAGGATATATGACTTGGGCTAAGGGGGGTCTGGGGGACTCCCCTAGCTGCAGAGGGGGGTTCGGGGGGCCTCACCCCGAAATGTTTTGAAAATTAGAACGTCTTGGGATTAATTTAAAGCCACTCTCAATGACAAATTAAATGGAATTAAATATTAAAAATGACAGAAATTTTGCTGACTTGTTTTCAAAAATATCATATCTTACTGTGGGTTTTAATTGAATAATATATCTTGATTTAACTCTCATGAAAACAAGTAATGCGCTAACATGCGCGAAAAACCACAACCGGGTACAGTCGAATTACCTACATTCCATGTTCCTTACTCGGAGGAAGCTGCTCTCTTTGCGAATAATTTTCATTTTTCTGACATCTTTGATCGATTATATTAGGATTAAGCTCATATTTATTACATTCCACATGCCTTTTACCTCAAAGTTAATCAGTAGCTTGGGTCCTTGACATTTTTGGACGGGGCCAAGCAGCATTGTGGGGGGGGGGGCCCCCCTATTTCCGCCCATGAAATTGGCCTGTAAAGATACCAAATAATAACATGGGTGTACCTATAGGTACTCTAAAATATGGATGACCGAAATGCAAAACCAAGTAACTCCGTGTGCGACGTTGCAGAATTTGCAGCACACTTTATTTTTTACTTGGAAAACTGAGAAGTCATCGCAACTTCTTTTTCGGATTTTTCCGGATTTATTGAATGCAACAATTCGAAAGTATTCTTGCTGAAAGTAAAAAATTAATCTAATTTAACATTGATGGAAAATCTGCGTTACGGAAGCCTCAAAAATGCGTCCAAATATACTTAAAATTTCAACAATTTTCCGGGGAAGCACTGGAGACCTCCAAGACCACCCTCTGTACGTACTGGGAGGTATCCCATACCTACCCCCTCCCCTGCCCTCGTCAGACATTCAAATAGACCGAGCTTAGCAGAACAAAGACGCACTAGTTCCATCGAGGCTCAACCGAGTAAAAGAGGTTTCAAGTTTTATTCCTCCTTAAAAAAACTCAATGTTAAGGACGAAGTTCAAGATCGATTTACACGTTCAAAATATATTTCTTATAAGTAATAAAGATTAGTGAAATTTTCAGTCAAAAACTCAAAATTATCAAAGTAATAATACTATTTGCGCAAAATTTGGCAACATTGAAATGAAGTTAGGTTCTTTTAAGAGAGAAACAGTGTATTTTGGTACTTTATTTTTGCATCTTCCCATGTATTCAATTATATCTCACACAGATAGGTTATTGTGAAAGAAAGCTTAAAAATATTAATTCTTAAAAATACAAAAAATAAAAAATTATTATGGACAAACTTGTTTATTTTAACTTTTTCTTATAATTACAGCTTTGTAAAACTTAAAAACAAAATCAAGAACTTACATGAAGACGAGATCATGATTAGTTAACAAAAACCATGATAGTGGACAACTTCATCAATGAAAATGATGAACATGGTGGATAGCAAAAAATAACGTCATTAATGGGAGAAAAAGGGCACAACTGCATGAAATACGATCAGTCTGAACTAGGTAAATCATCATTAACACTCTTGAAAATTATGTAAATGTGAGAAATATTGACTGTACATTTACTTGCAAATCCTCTGTCCTGAAAGTGTAGTTAGGGTTGCTACAGAGGAAAAAGAATAAATTTTAAACTTGGGCAGTGATGCAAATAGCAGTGCACGTCTTTTATTATGGTGTATTAGTTGTTCTTTAGCCTTTGCTCTTTTGGCGGCAAACTGACAGGAATGTGGCAATCCTATTACCCTTAACTACATACTTTGTATCCCCTCCATTACTGTGTGGTACCCTGTTTTCATCATGTTCCCTGTTTCTGAATGTATTGGTTTTAGTGTCACTTTTGTCTCTATATCCTCAGTATGAACATAACAGGTAATGTAACCAGTGGTGAACCACTTTTTTGGCTGTGCTAATGAGCCGTACTTGGTTACCTACTTGCCTATTTAAAACTAGTGCCTGGGTAGCCAAGCCCCTAGTATTATTCTAGTTTTTAACTTTTTAGAGTTTTGACAAAAGTTAGTACTTCTCAGAATTCCATTAGTTCATAAGTGTTTTAAAAGTTCACATTGAACTAGTCTTAGACTTTTAAAATTGACTGATTGAGACTGATTGAGTAAGTTCCTGTAAGTCCAAAACTAGTTCCTTCTTTTTTTTCTTATCATGTGAGCATTTCTTAAAAGATTCTTTTTGCACCTAGTTCAAAGATGCTTAAAGAATGTGACAAATTGATTTTAGGTCTTGTTTCTATGTGTGTTATTCTAATTTATTACATTTGTTCCTGAATATGTATTCGTTTATTTATTAAAGCTTGCTCTTTAAGCCATTTTTTTCAAAATTTTGTTCTTTCGATTTTTTTTTATAATTCTGGCACCATTAATTCCTATTCACCCTGCTAACGGAGAATTTGACCTATCTTCCAAAATTAACTTGCGTCCTATTCACCCCACTACGGGGTGAATAGGAATAAACCAGAAAAATAAAAAAAATTTACAATCTTCTGGAAATTGATAGTACTGACCTGGACTATAAATTATATGAGGGTCTAAAGTCTTACGCATTTTTCTCTCATTTCAAAATTATTAAAGATAGGGAAAATCCGATTAAATATGCATATGAAGCATACTCTCAGCTTTACTTTAAGCCCAAGTTTTTTTTAAAATCGGATAAACAGGATTCTCAGGAACATCTAATCAAATTTTTCCTATCTTGAAAAGCTTTGAAATGAGAGCAAAATGCGTGAGACTTTTGGGATGACCCTTATAAGTAAATAAAAGAAAAAAATCGTGCCAGGTGGGAATAAAAAATGCTGGCTTATTGTCCTGTTAATCAGATTTTTGAAAACTTGAGCTTGAATTAAAGCTGAAAGCATGCCTCACATGAACATCTAATTAAATTTTTCCTGTCTTGAAAAGCTTTGAAATGAGAGCAAAATGCAAGAGACTTTTGGGATGACCCTTATAAGTAAAGAAAAATGTTAATTCTTACTGTTTGTACAGTGAGAATGTTTTGTACTGTTGTACAAAAGATACAAGGATGCATTTTAAAGTAAGTTTACTCATTTTTTCCTCCTCAAGTATTATTATAGCTAACGAAAAAAAAACCAAACCAGCATAAAAATGTACTTTCAGCTAATTAACAAGTTATAGTACTTTCTTGGTTAAAGTGTTGCAAAGAAATGATTGATTTTCAACAGCTGTTTTACTCCTCTCATAGTGCCCACTTTTCATGCACAGTGAAATTTCACGAGAAAGCCAAGTTATATCCTCGGGAAAAGTAAATTAGATTCATGTATTTTATCATTGAATAAAATTAATTGACTCCTTTAAAGCACCTAACCTCCTTTTCAACATACAGAGGCAAACACGAAGTTATTTCATTGATTGTGTGTATTGCAAACTGCTTGAATTGCACAATCATTTCCCTCAACACTTCCCTACCGGAACATGGATTGTTGCGCACTTTCTGCGTCTATTAAGGAACATTTTACAACACCTTCAGACCATTTGATTACTCATTCATACATTCCTATCTGCCCAGTTAGATGTTATTGTAACAACAGCATCTAACTATGATGTGCAAAAGGATGGCTTGGTATAAGCATTCCGATCTCATGATAATAGCAGGATAAGATAGAGCTAACAGCTACAAAGTAAAAAACTGTTGGGTAAATAACTAAAGAGACAGAATATTTACCAAAAGGTGAAATAATCAAATTAAAAAGATTTTTGCGAGACGTCCACAAACGGGCGAATATAAAAAATTCTTACTATGAAAAATCTTTACAATGCCACAAAGCATAAACTTAAATTTGACTCTCACTACTATGTTGTTCACTATCTCCAGGCTTGCCACTGCTAGAGGACAAATTGTTCAAAATAAACTGCCTCTGTATTTCAAAGGATATGACACTTAAAGCAACAGCACTATTCAAACTCTCAACACAGTTGAAGAGTGGGATGTTCAAGCGACTGGAAGTGGGCTGTAAGCGGGCAAATTGAAGAGCTTCCCGAGACACACCATGTGTTTCTCCTCCGATAATCAGGGCCATGGGCGATTTGTTCACAAAATCAATTTCAAAATAAGGTAATGCGTTGGAAAATTCCTCCTTGAGTAAATTTTCTTCTTCCTCGGCTCTTGATATTTCATGTTCCACTTCATCATCAGAATCGGAGTCATTGCCAGAATCAGTACTTGCCATTTGTCTATCAGTGTCATTGAATTCCTCAGATGATGGACTTTGATGCTTTAGGCTTAAGTCCTCGTGGTTGTCTGCAATAAATATGTGTTCATACATATCAACATGGTCTGTCATTTGACTCCATTCTACTCCAGTTTCAATGGGAATCCTGAAGTGGGCGCCAGCAGCTGACCGTAGAACTTTCAAATTCCACAAATCACAGCAACCTGAAAAATATTCAAAGCTGCAGTTGGTTTTCCGACACAAAAATTTTCTTCACCTAAAAAGTATGAGAAAACAAACTAGGAATATCAGAAGAAACAAAAATGAGACCAAATAGTGCAAACCAATTCCATTGTTGCTCTTTTGTTCAGGTGACAATTTTCAAGAAGAAAGAAGAACTCAAAAATTTTGCATTGAAGTCTTCTTAAATGAAAATTATACATTATAAAGACTAATATTTCTCATTCTCTCACTTGAAAAGAGAAATGTTTTTTTTAGAAAGCAAGACAAGAAGAACTCTTTGATTTCAAAAGGTAGAGCATACTTTTTGGGGACAAACCTGAGAAGAATAGGCTACCAGTGCTCATTCAAGAACAGTGAGTATGCTTGCACCTTCTCGACAGGCAAAGGAAAAAAGTTGGTTCCCTTTTGTCTCGGCAAAATTTACGATTCGTTCAAGCTTTTGTAAGGCCTTCGTTCAGGCGATTGTAAGGCCTATTAAATGGAAACTTGGCATTGTACTTGTGCACATAGATTACCATTAATATACATTCTATAATACGTTGGGGGGATAACTTAACAGAGGATAACTGAGGGGATTAATGTGGGGATGCTACTGAACCCCTGGACAAAGTACTAAATATGTTAATATTAATTTCTTCAGAATTTCTAAGACATCAAATTTTCATTGTAAAATAGTTTAAATTAGACAATTTTGTAAAGTATGTCTAAAGAACTTTAGAAACAAGAAAATGCGGACTACTTTCAATTTTGATGAAAATTGAAGTCATTAAGATCATTAATCATTGTCTGAAAAGTTTAGCTTAAAGAATCTACTTGATTATTTTTCATAAACAATAGAATTACATAGCACAATGGTTAAAATCAGAGGACACTAGTTGGAAGCAATGGAGCAGAGGCAAGGAATTTTTGCAGATTAGCAGTATGCTTTTTCTTAGAGGATTTTTCGAGAAAAAACCGAATGGTTTATTAAAAAGCTCAAAAATCATTCCTGAGGGGGAAATAGCGAATTAATATCCGAGTAATCAAGAATCAAATCAAAAGTTGACAGCCGAGTTGACAAAGCAAGGCGACGTCTGAATCAGAGAATACCGTTTCCACCACCTGGCTACAACATCAGAGCCTGCTTGAAAATCGTTTTTAATAGTCCTATTTTTTGGCATTATCAAAGCGGGGCTTCTTTGCCATTTAGGAGAGGAAAAATTCCTAGAAGCTTAGTTCACGCCAAACTTGCAGAGAATACACTGAAGAAAGGGTGTCACTAACCATTTTAGATGATCAGGGACTCCTCAGCATCCATTTTAATGACATGTCCTTCAACAGGACTTTGAAATCTAAATCTAGCAGCAGTATCTAAGGAGTGAGATGAAGCCTTCTACTGTTGAGGATTTTATCACAACACAGCAGGGCTTGAGACTGCATATTAAATGAAAGAGAGGTAGGAAAACGCATGTCTGCATTTATAAAATTATATGTCCTTCTCCACCGATAATGAAATCTCATATATTAGCATATCTGGGAGTCAAGTAATACTTGTACATATTTATGCTGAAAGGAAGTACGTTAAGTTAATTAAATTGAAAGGAACTAGGTAGCTTGCAAATAAATATACATAGGTCCTTAGAATTTAATTCACTTGGGTGTAGATCTTTTAAACAAAAATACGAAGTACGTTTATCTCAGCTTCCGTTGCAAAAAAATTGTGATATTTAAGTTGGCAGAGCTGGCTGTATAACATGAAGATTTTCGCACTTGCCACTTCCAGCAAGTACATAATATGTTTAAACTTATTTTTAGAAAATCTTCACTTCTGCTGGGAAAATACAAGAGGAAGTTGTGACACAGCAATATTCACTCTCAGAAAGTAGAAGAACAAGGGAAGCAAAAGTCGAATGGAGAATAATTTTCTCGACTATTTACCTTTGGTCAAAATGACCTTAGATGACCCTACACCAGCTGCAACTCGTAAAACTGATCCCAAGTTACCAGGATCACGAATGTTGTCACAAATTATTGTGAGTGGCATTGCTTCTTCTGGTGGTTCAACTACATTTGGTGAAGGAATGTTGAAGATACCTGAGGAATTGAGTAAAAGAGAGGAACATTAATAAAGTACAGTGACAGCATGATTCTTCAAATCTCATTGCTTTCTTACGTGCTACATTCAGAATCGAATACTTCTTTTTCATGTTTCCTTGGTGTTCAATTAAATTAGTGTATCAAAATTTTACTGATCCCGTACTTTGAATTGATTCAGGTGACGGAGGTGATCATGATTTTACAGAGGACAGCCAATTTTTTGCAAACACTGACCTGGATGGTCAATCCAAGTCAATTCATCCAGCAAAATTTGTTGGTGAAATTAGTCTTGTTTGGTCAGTCAGTGCTAATAAAAAATGCTCTTTGCCAAACTTTGCAGACTGAGTACTTTTTGAATGAGAAATTATTGAAATTTTGACCTTTTTCACAGATAACAGGTTCTGCAGTAATATTTCAGATCAGACAATAGACTTAGTTCTTAGATTTTTGCAAGTAATTATACATAAAATAATGAGGACTAAAGTAAGGAAGGGAGAAGAAAGAAAGAAAGAAAAAAGAAAGAAAGAAAGAAAGAAAGGAAGGAAGTAAAAATGAATCAAACATTCAAGTTGCTTACCGATGACTCCAGGACAAGTTACAAGGTCAGACCACATTTTCATTTCCTTATACATTATTTTATAGATAGGAACTGCATCTTCACCTGTTGGAACATTTATACTTGCAATGTCACTGGGACGGGAGAAAAAGAAGCTGTGTGGTCGTACGCCTGCTGATAATGCATCCTCAATGAGTCTTTTCCCCTCAAGCATGATAAGATTAGCTTCCTTCCTGTTTTTTCTTGACTTCACTGTCATCATGACCTCACTGTAATTCATAAGAAAAGGAATTAACTGAATGGATATTTTCACAACCACTTTGAGTTCTGGGAATTAGATTTTAAAATAACTAGTGCACACTTGAGTAATGGGGATTTACATCTGTGATGAAACATTCACTTCGAATGATTTGTGAATGACTTGAATAATTTAACCTGTATTTAAAAATTCTTAATTTAGGAATAGATATATCAATTTTTCATCCCTCGACCACTTGATTTTTGCCACCTCCCTTAAATCAACACTTGATTTGCAATTCTGCCATCTACTGGTAATGGAAATTTGTTGAGATGTGTAAATTTGAAGGCGATCAACTTTGTTTCGATGACTTTTCCAGGGCTCATCAAATTCCCTGACTTTCTAGGTTTTCCAGACAGGGGGAAATCCTAGGTAATGTAGAAAGGGGTGATTTTTTTTTAAGTGGGAAAGTGAATATTCGAGCAAAAATCAACCTAGAATACTTTGTTTACGCAATTTTGTTCCGTTGCTGCTCTTTATATGAATTTCAAACTTGTCCGGATTTTACCGTCAACTCTTCAGCCAATGGGAGAGGTGGCTTCATTTTCTCTTCTGGCACTCCGTATTTATATCTTTGGGTTACCTAGCTGCACATTCCAAGCAGTTCTACATGAGGCTAAGATTCCATGCAATCCACCTTGGAAAAGCAATACGAGCATTCCTACGTTCCACTGGAATCGGCCAGACCATGGCAGTGGACAGGGATATAGAAATATCATGGTTAGATTCAGTCCACTACCATGTACATAAAAAACTCTGAAGCATGATTTCCTCACCGAGGCCCGCAAGTAGAATAAATATGAACACTGGTGAACATAATATGTACAATGGTGGCCTGACCACTTATGGATTGTCTATCAACATTTCCAGTATTCAAGAGTGCTTGGTATCAACACTAAAAGAACAGAAAAAACGAAGGGCAATCCGAGAATTTCGGGACTACAAGTAAACTTACCTCAAGCGAGTATCATTTTTCTCCAATCTTACGAATGGGAAAGGGAGTGGATGTTCCACCTCTTTGGCCTTTGAGATTGGTTTGGTTGTTCCAATGTTCTTAGAGTCGTGGATTTGAGGTGCTACATGATTTGCTGATTTGAGATGATCTGCTTCTTTGATCCGGTTCGGTGATTTGAGATGATCTACTTCTTTGATCCGGTTCACTGATTTGTGATGATCCGCTTCTAGGATTTGGTTCTTCAAGTCTACAATTGTTGCAGAGTAAGGCTTATCAGAACGGACATTACCTCTCTTCCTGGAAGGGCGGGCATTCAAGTAGGCACTAAGAAATAGAGACCTCTTTCCTGATGACTTATTGTTCTGAATCAGACACGAGTTCCTCGTGATTAATAAAGAGAAAATTCGCAAACCTGTCATGGTCTTTAATGTGCTGCGAAATAAAGGAGGAAGAAAAACTGAGGCCTCAGATGCACAGCATGTGGAGAATACGGGCTCTCCAGAAATCGGGAGCGTAGGAATAGAGAGCACAATTTACTTAATAGCGGTTAAACTGATACTCGATGTTCTAAAAACTTATGATATTCTTCAATTTTCCTACGCAAGGGAAAAGTACCGGAAAAACCTGAAAAAAGCCATTAGAAAAATTCTGTGTGTTGTTGACATACCACGTTTGTTGTTTGATGCAAAAATGATAACGAGTAACGTTGAATGTTGAACGATTGATAAGAACTTTTGTTTTTGTCCGTTAAATTTTCGGCGCCAAATCGACTGTTTACTATTCTTATCAAATAGATGATTTTCAACTTGAGTCTTGAATGGTAAAATTTCATTTCTTTTTAAAGTTTTCCATGTTCAAAAGTTTTTAAACATTTACTGCTGAAGTTATCAATCATCCAAGCGTTTTTCAAGTGAATCTCTCGTTTTTTCATCTTTGCGACAATGGATGAAATTTCAAAACTTGCAAAAGAACTCATTGAGGTGAAAAAGATAGCAGAGGCAAGCAAAAGAAGAAATGAAACGGACACCTGGACGGAAATAGGATTATTCCTTGATGGTGTCGATGACAAAATCAAGAGTAAGCTCATTTATTTATTTCAATTTTATGGAGTTGATCACTACGATTTGACGAAAGTTTTGCCTAAACAAAGCAACATGTTCCCAAGTACTTTAGAAAATTAGGAAAGTAGTCAGGATATAAATTTGAGGGAAATACTCAGATCAGCCGTAGTATTCAACATACATTTATATCTGATACCGTCAAAGCAAAGATAAACTATTTCTGGATCCTGCCTGATTGAACAGACATCTACCATGATAAGGCACCTTCGTGTAGCAGGCACAATTGAATCGGGACCACTAATGTCCATTTTTCTAATCCTCAGTTTTTTTGAGTCGATGATACTTTAAAAGAGTTGATACAACCTTAAAAATGACGAAAGGGACGAGTATCAACGCCACTTCCGAGGTTGCATCCAACTCCAACCAAAGCATTATCTACTCAAATAACTGAAGACTTGAAAAATAGACATTAGAGGTTTTCCCGATTCAATTGAAATGAGTTTCTACTTTGAAGTTTACAGCCAATGCCATTGTGGTGCATTTTGAGATTATTAAGGTGCAAATAATTTTGAGCACGACTCATCTCAGGGTAGACCAAATGGACGTGTTTATGCTAAGAACTGTTTTGTATGCAAACTCTACATTCCTAGATGGTCACTTTTATCATAAATACATTCAAATGAGGAAAAACCAATGAACTAGAGCTCTACTTCTTGCATTAATATGCCTATTAGCTGAAACTCTTGTTGGTTACATACTAGTATTTGGACTGCAATTTTGAATTTTCGTCCTGCAGGAGTTAGAACGCTGCAAAGATTCAAGTGTTTCTTGAAGGAGCTCTGAGTGACATCAATTGCGAACTTAAGAATCCTCTTACCTTCGGAATATCTGAAAGTAGGGCTCGGATGCAAGGGTGTCAAAGTGTGCAGTCCGATTGCCGCAGCGTGCCCAGTCCTGTTGCAGATATTAAACAGGCAATTCTGACCAATTGCACATGCATCACTTTTCTGCTTTTACCTAGGGTATTTTAGTCTATTTTACAATATTGCAATGTTCAATCATGATTTTTGAAATCATGTCAATGTCACAACAATCCATCAATCAACATTCCTCGCAACTGTAAAACCAATATCTCATCAGCATTAAACTCTGCACTCGGTGTGAATTGGAAAATTGTAGAAACATTGCTTGGTCCGAAGATCTGTTTAATTTTTTTTTTTTTTCGATTCTGAAAATTTCCCTCTCTTTTTTTCTGTTAGATCTAAAAGAAGAAGAAATTCAGAAGAAAGAGGAGCTGGCGCAACTAAAGTCAAAGAAACTTCAAATCAGCGAGAAAGAAAAATCTTTGGTTGAAGAGCATAATTCTCTCAAGCAAGACATTGTAAGTGTTGATTTCAAAATTAACTGAGAGAGCAGTCATCACTGCTGTATCTAACTATGATCAACTTCCAGACCTTTCTTTTGCAAACCCCAGAATTGGAGATTAGTAGTTCAAGTTTTAGTCCTCTTTATCTGTATGTCTGCAGGCGTCAGGCGACATTCTTACTTAAAAAATTGAAGTTCAAGTTTCAGTCCTCTTCATCTGTACGTCCGCAGTTGATATTCATTATTCATACTGAATATTAATGGAACTCTTATTTATCTTAGAAATCAGCTTTTTCTTTAATTTGGGTTGTAAATTTTGGTACTAAGAAACATAGTGCCCTGCACATATCTAAGTAGACACATCACTGATCAGCAAAAGAGTTGTAATGAAGGTTCAGATGGCACACCGCAGTGTTAACCAAAGTAGCTTCCCATCTCTTGACAGCTGAGGAATGACAAGTGAAAACTTTATAGAGGCAAAGCAGAAAGTAATCATGAGTCCATTTTTTGTGGACATTTCACACTGCTGCAGCTGCATTCTGGGTTTAGCTTGATGATGAAGATCTGATTATCTTAGAAACGGTCCACTTATTGAAAACAATTTTTAGGTATCACAGAAAATTTAAAAATTTATTTTTTCACCATTTAAGCTGAATATAGTGATTGGGTATGAGACTTTATCGAATTTTCATGTGTACAGATAACATTAGTGGGTGAAATTCTTTAACTCGCAGTCACCATTTCTATTTTTTCTTGGCCAAAAACAGAATATGTTTTATTCTCTGTACGTAAAAAGTCTCTATAATTCCTGTGAATTGAGGAGTGATAGGTATCTGAAAAGCAAATGGAATTTTATTTAGCAAGGAAAATGACGAAGAGAAACCATTGAATTTCCTAATCATTGAGTCATCCCCGGAAAACCCTATTTTTACAAGAAAATCGATTTTCCAAAAAATCCCAATATAATGGAGCAACTTTGTCATAATTTTCGGACTCAGCTTTAAAAAACACACCAAAAACATCCGTTACAAGTAGATCTTTTATTTCTTGAAAATTTAGCTTTCCCCAGAAAACCTTCTGTTTTACAAGAAAATCGATTTTCCGGAAAATCCTGATGGAATAGAGAAATATGGATAGAATGTTCGGACTCTGCATAAAAAAGTACATGATATACACCCACCATATGTTGAGCTTTGTTTTCGAATGCAGACCCATGTAATTATTTGCGATTTATCACCCTCATTTTAGCATTTTCTAGATGTTTCAACTCTTTCACCGCTATAACGAGGGGTAAAAACTTTTTTGGGTGGTGTCCAATACATCTTTTCTCACTCAATTTTTCCTGCTAAAGCCGAATATGACCTCAGATTTTTTTTAGAAATTACACATTTTCCCAGAAATGGATTTTTCTGAAAAAAAGTGTTTTTCAGTGTAAAATCCCATATAAAAATGATGGCTCTGTCGGCTTGGGTTAATATTATCCGATTTGGCTGAAACTTGGCAGAGTGTTTTTTGATCACATGGATCAGTTCTAGGGGGCAAGACTAAAAAAAATCCGACATTGCCAAAGTTGGGTCACTCTAATGCTGCCCTAGGAAATCCTTTAACAAAGCTTAAGTATTTTCTGTTTTTTTTCTAGGACTACTTGAAGGTGGAGAATGCACGTTTGGCAAACCAAGTCATGGTCTATGAAGGGAAAATAAAACTAAGTAAAAGCTTTTGCTTAGCTCCTGAGGATGAAAAAGCATTACAAATTGCCATGTAAGTTTCATTTTCTTCTTTTCAAATAAGTTTTTGGCTTAGCCATCCTTTATATTTCAAGTGTAACACTTATGCAGCCCACTTGTTGTTGGACTTTGAAAGATGGACAGTTAGCTACTAATACTGATGTGGGCTAGAGTATATATTGCTTTACTGTAACACGTAAACTTGGTTTTTTTATTCTATGAGTTCTAACTTTGTTTGTTTTCTTTTTCAGCGACAAAATTAATATTTTTAGACAGTTAACTGGAATTAAGTTTGCTAGCCCACCCAGCGGCAAATCCATCGAAGGATGTATCCTTTTCTGACAGATTACCTGTAGGTACTTAACTAATTTCCTGATCTTTGTTCGTCTGTTTCTCATTTTCAATTTCCTTGAATTTATCTTTTATCATCTACCGGTAGCAAGGTTTCACCATGGCGCGTCCCCAATTTAAGAGAAGGACCATTCGAGCCAAAAAAAACTGTTTAACTTTCAACTAGACAAGGCTGAAACATATATGCGAGTCAATGAGTTTATTAATTTTCCTTGCTTGTTGACGTAATGCATCAGTGGAGCTTTCTTATCGTATCTTAGACACCTGGAGAGAAAGTTTGGAATGGATATTACATCCAACTAGTGAGTTTGTATTTTGCGGAAAAAATCACAACCTCTCGAGTGGGCACGCAAATTTTAATATCACGCTCTGTAATTAGCAAGCCTTAGCAAAGTCGCCAAGCTGAAAAGATAGAGAGTAACCTGCTATGAAAGTGGTGGGAAAGTGATAATAAATAAAAAATGGAACGCTTAGTCTTGTCAGCATGAAACTCACAAGCGTGCTGTTTTATATGGAGGAAACTTCCAAGTGTGCTAAATAACGTGGAGAAAATAATTAAATGCAATGCTTCATGTGAGCAAGTTGGTGAGGGCAGCTTATTGTTAGCTCCATATGGATTGCGTTTAGCACAAAGGAACCAAGCCACATCAGTCAATTTATCTGGGCAATTTAATTTTTTACAAGAGAACGTTCGTGCGGATTCCTCTGAAAATTTTAAGGAATTTGCTTTGTACTACACAGGAAATTCACTGTTAGCAAAAAAATCTGCGCAATCGTTCTTATGTAAGAAATTAATTCACCCAATTAAATTTGGTGATAGCTGATGTGGCATAGTTCCTTTTTGCTTAACGCAGTCCACATTATCCTCATGAAAAAATTTTAGCTCACTAATAATCACCCTGCTGAAAACATTCACGTTCTTTTCAAATATAATTAATTTACCACTCGGTAATTAGTAACATCTATGATTTATACCTTAGCTAGTCATGAACTGCTTTTCTCGTTATTCCTTAACCGATTTAAACAGGCATCTATAATGAGAAAAAGAATTTCTTGAAACGCTTCAAGACTATCTGCAACAAAAGTGACCCAGAGATCTGGAAAATGATTGGAGAAGCAAGTCATTCTGACTGGGGCAGTTTTCTTAAAACAGCCAAGGTGGAGCTATCTTCAACAAGAACGACTCAGGAACCTCGAAAATGATTGAAGTCACTCAAATTAGAGTAGTTGGGCCAGTGGAAGAAGAGCTACATTATAAGTATTCGCATGTATTGTTTTGCAATTTCATCATTTTTTTTTCTATTTTTTAAAGTTTTTTTTTTCTTCTAACTTATGTGGATAGTTATCAGGCAAAAAAGTTATCTGTATCATAGGTAAAATAAAATTTTATGATAACAATCTCAGATATATATCAGATTACGACGTTTAACGAACAGTACCATGATGAATATGTTCTTGTTTATACATGAAGTACAAGACAGAAGGAAAAAATTATTCCGATGTCACCCCATGTGAAGACAAGTGTGTAAACTCCTGCCTCTTATCAGTTCGAATCTTTTTCACACCTACATAGACGCTAGTAGTGGCGACGTCATCATAGGGATTCTCCATTATGTCGAATTGGATCCAAACAATAACATTGGCATAACCTCTTTCAATGCTACCAGTGCGAAAAAATCGATATATATCGCTTTTCTGTGACGTTGCACTAATAGCGTCTATTGCTTCAGATATGCAGTTTTGCTGGTACTAGCCCTACATCCTAAAAATCCTCGAAAATTTCAATTCTAAGTCTTAGTTAAAGGAATACATTTGTACCAACATTGTTCATGTACAACTGCTTTGTCATGAAAAAAAATTTCAGGTACCGTGGTTCAAAAGCTTTTTCTTAGACCTGCATTAATCATGGAAAACTTGAAGACAAATAAGCCACACACACTCTCTGCAGGTCATTGCCGAAAAATATTAGAAAGATTTGTATTCTCACATGAAAAAATAAAGCACAGGCATTTTTGTAAATATTGTAAAGCAAAATGGGCAACTCCACATCACTCTATTTCCCATGTTACCAGACCAGACAGTCAGCAGGATGCGGTGTGGCATTTGGCTGTAATTGTTTCTACGGTATGCTATGCCCACTGCCTTCAATGAAGTATACGGAGCTCATTTTGCCTGTAACTCAATTGAAGCATCTTGTTGCAAAGGTAGCCAATTCCATTATGCTGATGAGCCCTAGATTAAGCAAGACGGAATACTAGCACTGTGGGGCTCATCTGGAAAATAGACTTTAGCCTGTGTAACACTACCAAAACACTTCATAAAAATGTCAATGACAAGGTCCAGTGCTGTGATTGGTCCAAGTCGAATGAGCCAATCACAACACCTGACCTTGATATTTTTATGGCTAGCTTTGATAGTGAGACACAGGCTTTTGCTTCAAGATGTTTCAAAAGTGTTGCAGATGTTCCTAACAAATCTGTGGCATTCGTCATACTTTATTCACATACTTTCTAGTTTTGATGAAAGCTTAAGATGAAAGATTCTGCTCTACTCTGCAAGAAATTGTAAGTCCAAGAATATTCCACCGACCAGTGCTCGAACGAAGTTCCAGGCACTATGCCTCTATTCTTGAATCCATAGTGTGAACAAAGGTCTACTCAGGTAAACAACTCTCCTCTTCAGTGGCAAACAGCGGGCCGATTATCGAAATTGATAGACAAAGCTATAGACAAAGAAGACAAAAGAGGTATGGAGGGATCCTATTGGTGGAAGCGGGTGGTTGCAATGGACAAAGGAGGTAGGTAATAGACTAAGTAACGGCAATCCCCGAGGAACCCGACAGTTAGTCTATCATTTTCTCCCTTAGTCTATAGGAACAACCCATTACAACCAATAGGATAGCTCCATACTCCCTATGTCTTCTTTGTCTATCGCTTTGCCTATCAATTTAAATAATCGGCTCGCAGGCTGGAGGAGAAGTGCAGGTATCAGCTATTCCCCTTGGAATATTCGGACGTCTCGCAGCATGGAGTAAAAAGCAGACAAATTATGCCCATTTAGGGAAATTCTATATTTTGCCGGTATTTTATAATTATTTTCATAAACACCCATAAATTTTAAAATTCTTCATAATAACTCCTTTAAAATGTACTGAAACGACAAAGAAAGAAATTAACTTTCGAAAAATGTATATTTTGTAAACGTATTATATTGTATGATTAAAAATTTTATATTTTTCTTAATCTCTTGCTTTCTTCATTAAGGCTTAAAGATTCAACCGACTTAACCTCTTCAATATCAAACAAAACAAAATCATCTGAAAAAAGGACTAATTCTTCAAAATTGGAGAGGGGAAGTAATTTGATTTCCTGGAAAAATTTCTTTGTCTTGTTACTTGGTGTTGTAGGATTACAAATTTAACTTTCCTTGTTTTAAGTATGTACGAGGTTTAATTTAAAGTTGAACTTATTTTTATCGGGCTGCATTATGTTGATGAAAATTACCTTTCTCCCGATCACTTTTTCTCCGGTTCTCAGACGATAGCTATTTCGATGATATAAATCATCATCATCAGGTCTTCGACTTCGACTTCGGTAAACACTAACAGTCACATCTTATTTAGTAAATCTTAGTAAATTTTAGTAAGTTTTAACAATATAAGATGTGACTGTTAGTGTTTACCAAAGTCGAAGTCGAAGACCTGATGATGATGATTTATATCATCGAAATAGCTATCGTCTGAGAACCGGAGAAAAAGTGATCGGGAGAAAGGTAATTTTCATCAACATGTACGAGGTTGATAGAAAAACTGCTCAAAAGCGGACAGGCATTACAAAAATATAGGTGGTCCCGTTATTAAGGGAACCCTCATGATAGTTCTAGAACCTCAGCAATTAAAGCCTTAAAGTGAATTATTCTTAATAACTCAACGAGGGAAATCCAGTGTTTTTGATGTGCACCAAATATTTCATGAGATGCGAGAATCATGTGCTGATTAGGCCAAACTGCTGCATTAGGTTCTTTTCTTTTTTTATAAATAAAAAAAAGGCATCTCTTGGATCAGGAACTTCTAAGATGCTTCCTGAGAATGATCGAAAATTGTGAGTTCCAAGAGATGACTATATCCATTGACAACGAAGAAAGTGAGCAGTAAAGTGATGTTGAACAAAGTGATTTGATTGGGAGTGTAAATCAAACGCAGAAAGTAATGATATTGAGGCAAAGGCAAAGGAACCATCAAAAACGATTCCGATGTTGGTCTAGAAAATGAAAATAGTGTTGTGCTTTCTTCAGATACCTTGATAAAAATTGTTATCTTCGGAGCTCAACAAGATTGGAGCATTGAAACGTTGCAGCAGCATTGATGTGCCACGCAAAAGCAGTTGCGTAAACAAGCAATATCGGGAGCTGTGCAAGAAAAGTTTGCATTAGTTGATGGAACTGATGGAAAATTTATGGAGACGCAAAAAAATATAAGACCTGTCACCAGTGTTTTATTACGAAAGTGGGCAGTTAATAGTGCATACAAAATTCATGAAACTTTCTAACGGTTTTGTTTCATAGCTTTATGTTCATGGCCTTAGTCGTTAAATAAACAATACCTTATAAGGCGACAGAAAATGACCCATTATCTTATGTCAAAGGATGCTCCAGATGAAGAGAAAATTTTGGCTTTGTTGTCAACGAATTAAACTTCCATGCAATATTAAAATTAATGTTGCTAAATATGAGGTCAAAGCAAAAAGTGGACTCAAACAGGGAGGAAAATGAATATTAAGCTGGGATAAAGCACAGTGAGGACAAAACATTCAACATGTATATGCAAAGGTGGTTGCACTTCATACACTCTTGCCATCATATGGTATTGAGTGCATTTACATCAAATGGCATAGCATGTATCTATCCTTTGCTTGTGTCAAGTCAGTAAATGGTATCCAAATCTTTAAGCGACAACAATTGAGAACCTGCCTTACAATAGACAAGCTGCTGAATTTGTCATGGAAATCAATGTAGATTTGACCTGGAAAATTGATGCTTCTTTGTTGTGTAATAACTCTATGAAGATGAAGATCTTGTTCTGTGCGAATGAAAAAATCCAATGCAACTAAAGCTTAATTTTCCAGTAAAGACCACTAATTTTTCTTCTAAAAGCACCATCTCTGAATACTAATACTAATAAGTGAACCAAATTTAACCTGTTGGCATTCAAATTATTCTTCAAGGTCATCCTTCCTGTACTCAACTTAAAACACTCAAAAGCAAATGGTAAAATGCCTCTATCAACTGAAGATCAACACCAGAGTGCAAAAAGAAGGCAGCAAAAATTAGCGGCCAGCTACCCGAGGGAAAAAATAGTGAATTTAAGATTTACAATAAATGTGGAACATCCCTGCAGAAGACAGCACATCATTTTACTTCTTCACTTTCTATTGATGCCCCAGCGCAACGTTGTAAGGTGATTTTATCAACCGTGAGTCAACATTTGAGCACAAAGGGAAGAAATGGGAGAACTTTTAATCTGGTTCTGGCAAAGCGCAAGTTTTGTTCCACTACCCTCTAAAAAAGAAGTTGCTTGAAATACTAAACAAGAAGTATATCCAGCTACCTCAAACTAGATGGGATGATCCTAAGTTTCAGCTTGAAAATGGAGTTTTCTCCCTTTTTTCACCCTTTGTATCTCCTAGGTAGGTCGTAGGAGGGCTCTCCTAGATCTGCAACTAAGCCTAATCTTAGATCAGTTATAAACAGCTGTGATTATCTATCAAATACTAGGAGAAGTTCACAATGGCGAGTCTTAGGAAACAAATCTACCGGTTTAATTTTTGATAAGTTGAATGGTTTGTAGGTGGCTTTTCGAGGCTGATTTGTGAGTTGAATGAAATTCCTCATGGCAACTGGATTATCAGCAGCACAGGAAACATAGATTAATTGGGAAATCAAGTCGCACTTGAGAATGGTCTCCATAGCCTTTTCATCTGTAATAAAAGAGAAGAAAACATGAATGGTAAAAAAAATTACAAGTGTTGGGCAAATATCAACTGCATATTTAACAACGTTTAAGTATGAAACTTTACACCAATTAATTCGATAGATTGAAGTAAGGCTGTGCAAATATGGTTGTTTTTTATTTTTTATTTTTTTATATCGAAGAGGATATTTTTACCTATTTTGGACCAAAACCAGGCTCTTTGATGGTCAAAGTAAAAATCAGGTAAATAATTTTTTTCCCCTAACATTTAATTTTTCGGCACAGAATCAATGTCACATTCTTTTTTTCTGTATTTACTTTGTGGGGTTAAAACTTTGTGGTGTTAAAACTGTTATAGGGTGTAAATTCGTCAATACAATTCACTCACAATAGCAAAAGAAAATTTATTTTGAAAATTGATCTGATTTAGTCTTCACACAGAAACAGTCACAAGGCCAGAATTGCTCGCTAATCACGGAAAACTCTTGCATGCGTAATAGTAAAATGCAATACTATGGCGTTATATGCTGTTTTCTTTAATTAGTGACTAGCAATTAATCAATTAAAATGCCGAACTGTAGAGTCAATTCGGACTGTTCAGGTTGTTAATTAAAAATGATATTAAAACGAATGGGTGGAAACAAATATACACTTAACACATGCATTTTTCAGAAGATTGGACTAGATTGCCGCTGGGATTCCTAAAAGTGCATTTTAAGTGAACTTATGTTCTCTCATGCTTAGAAAGGTCCTTGCAGTATGCAATTACAGTTAGAGACCATGTTCAATCTGATACACATTAAAAGAAGATTAATGTATGGTCTCAGTTTGCCCCATCAACAAAATGGCAGGTTGTGAGATTGAAATTAAAACATCAAATGCATTTTTTTCAAAGCAGGATACCTTTCAAGAACGCTCCCTTGTGAGGGACTATTACTGACTCCCAAGGCTATTATTTTAGCTTTCTTAGGATGGCAATTTAACTGCCAAAATGAACTGTACTTTTTCCACATCCACGATGTTAGATTAATGAGTCATTTCTTCGTGAAGAGTTCAATCATAATTCATATCTTGCTTTTGCCATTAATGGGTTTATTGCACACAAGAGATACAGCCCACTGAATACACAAAAAAAAAAATTCTAGGAATGCGTCAAAGGCATTACATGGGTTGGTGACAAATTGAAAAAATCTCTAGGGTTTTCAGACTTTTTTTTTAAGAAATTAGTTCATGAAATAGGATAGCATTGTGAACTGTAGGATTATTCAATAGATTTATGAAAAAAAAAAAAGGAAACTCACGTAGTCCACCTCTGCCAGGATTGACTACCGCAACAACATGAGAAGCCATGTCCAAGTCCCTCAAAGCGTAGAAGAGTTTCTGCTCAGAAAAACAAAAAAAATAAGATTTACCTTTAACATTCAGTGAGATGGTTTTTTTCAGTCTGAGCGAGATGCTAAAGAGTTAACCTTATGGTATACTATTTTTCTGATATCTACAGTGAAAACCATCTTGACAATTTCTCACAGAGTGCTTTCATAATTTATTTATCTGGACCAGTTAGGTACTGAAGCATTTAAACATTTTGCACAGTTAAATAAGTTAAAGTAGAGAAATGCTGAGAGATGGGTACATTTTTTAATTGACTAATCATCATCATAATGAGATGCTTTCATTTAATGACCCAAGGGACAGGGAAGGCGGAAAAAGCAATTTGAGAATTTCTAATGAGAACTTCTTTCGTACGATATGTATTGATACCTCATTGGATAGAACACAAAATAAGGAAGCTATTGACGAAAACTGCAGGTTGCCACTACAAACTTTCTACTATTTTCTGCATTATAATCTTTAAGATTGTTCAATATTTTTAAGTTCTGATCCCAGATTTGTCCTTTCCGTGTCAAAGTAAGTTCTCTTTGAAAACCATTTTTCATCCCAATCCACCAATAAACAATCAACATACTCATTTTTCACCAGTTTGAAAGCTATAATCTTGAAAATAGTGCAAAATTATGCAATTCTGTCACCAGATCTGTTCTTTAGTATCAAGAAACTATCAAAGATCAAATCTCATCCACTGATAAGCGATTGAGATACCAATTTTCTGCCATTAAGAAACAGTAACAGACAGCAAGGTAAGGTTTTCACCAAGAATTTAGTTTCCTTATGCTCTTTCCAACAAGCTATCAGACAATACGGGTTCCCATTTTTGATTCTCAATTTCTCAAGTGGTTCCCGCCCCTTGCATCTTTGAGAATTAGANGGGGGGGGGGGGGGTAACGGCAGCCCTCAGAACAGATTTCCTTTTTTAATAGAAGAAGTCTTGTCCAGTTTGCATTCCTAAGTCTGCAACCTCTTTTGAGATACTGACAAGCATCCATACTTTATCGCCATTCTGTATTCTATAGGCACTAATTAAAAAATACTTTAGATGCTGGTTCCCTTGTGCTCTCACCAAATCGAGAACCCACCTCTCTCTAGTTTCAACTCTAGATTTTAGAATTGTTACGAAATTTCTTGCCAAAGAGACAATGAACTACCTTGAGAAGTATTGATGTTATCCAATCAAGATTCATTAAAAAAGTATCTCTAAAATTGAGCGCTGTTTCTGCTGGTATGTGTGTTCCAACAGGATGATTTCAAAATTTTTTAAAGCATGCATGAACTGAGAAAAGATTCTGATGCATAAATTCTTGAAAAATTTTAAAATTTTAAATGATTCAAACCATCCAGTTTTTTTTTTCCTTCAAACTTCCATCAATACTTTCCTGCATAATCCAAGGGTGCAGAGAGTTTTTGCCTCCCCGTTTTTACTTTCTCGCTCCCCTAGAGCAGAGGATGTATTGTTTTTACTGGCCTTCCCATTTTAAAAACTCCTTCTTATTTCTAGGCTTTGACCTTTTTTTTGTCTTCAATTCATAAATTGCTGAAAGTTTACATAAAAAAGAAAGGAATTTCACGCGAGGTAACTGTGACTTTAATGCTACAGTGAGCTTGCCTTCCCATCTCTTCACACGAGCAGCCCTGTGCTCATGATCGCTTGATCAGGAAGTTGCTACAGCATGGCAGAAACTTCAAATGTTATAGGTCAAGATTTCAGATCTCCTGAGGACTTAAAATTTTATTAGTTATACTTAATTAAAGCTAGGTTCACCGCCCTGATTTTAGTGGACTTTGACACTGAATATAAAACAATTGTTCAGGCTATTACAAAACAAAATATAGAAATGAACTTACTTTTTCAACAGTGCCGTGAACGAAATCACAGTTAAAAATATTGTTGTCCAAAGCATTGATCCGTGCATCTGCTACAGCATCTTTCACAGATTCAACACCAACACAACCGCGCACTTTACGAGATGCAACTAAACTAATAGTACCTGAAAGAGTCAAAACGAAAATTTTTACACCTTATTTACAATATAAAAGATTGTAACGATGTTTTTTAAACATTTTTTAATCTGCCTCTGTTGCAGAAAATAAAATATTTTAAAAGCACACAAAAATCACAGGGAAGATTGCTAAGCACATACATATGAAATCAAGCAGTGCTTGCTGGGAAAGACTTTCCAGACAATGCTAAAGCAGTTCTCCTAGTCATCGTTACTATTGTTAGAACACTTGTAACATTTATACATCTAGCAGTGTTGATTTTAGTGTAGCCACATACTTTTTTGCTAAAAATTTAATTAGAAACATTTTAATGACTTTTCACACTGGAAGAGAAAAGAAAAGTAAAAAATCTTATGGCAGCAACTTTATTCCCTCCATTTAAACCTTCATGATTTCATAAATTTTTAAGCAAATAAAAGAATGTAATCTCAATTGATCAAAAATCATGTGAGCTGCAAGATGAGACAAAAATCAATTATAACTAGTTTAGCTTCCGCACTGCAGCATTAGTCTGGAAACTTTTGCCAGACCCAATGTATGTTACACATGTATTTACATGTTGTTTTCTTAAAAAGCAAAATCGCTTCTTGATTGTGATGAGCTAAACTTTTAGTCGTAGGCATGACTCATAAACGACTGCAGCTCAATAGCTCAAATATGCATTTAACTTTTTCTTGCAGGAGATTCATTATTTTTTCATTTTAAATTAAACACTAGGGGGCTGCGCCCCCTAACCGCTCCGCGGTCCAACCCCCCAGAGGCGCTTCGCGCCTCTAATTAGCAGATATCATGAGATCGTTAAAAGATCATTAAGAGTTAGGGAAAACCCGGTTTGGAGACGGCAGGAAGCATGTGAGCGTGCGCGGCGGGAGGGGAGCGGGGAGTGGAGGAGAAACCGGTTTGTGACATGATTAGCGTTACACCCTCAGCGTGACACGGCACCCTTATGATTTTATACTATCGAGTAAGATTTCTTAAATATGCATACAAAACAAAGAAAACAGAAAACATTTGATTTCAAGCCTTTGAAAGTGAAAATCTTGTTTCAGACTCATAGGATGTACGTAGCTTCTTTTGTCAGATTATTAAATTTATGCAGGGGCTTTCAAAGAAAATTATTCCCAGATTCCATGATAAAAAAACCAATGAGAATAGATATATATTTCTGTAAACTTGCATTATCCAGTGATTTTGAAGCAGAAAACTAATTAATTGTAAGCCCTCTTGCTGGAAAGAACAACTACGCAGTTGCTAGTCCATTAGATAGAGAGGCAAACTTAGAAATGAGAAAAAGCCATTGATATCTTACCAGTGCCACAACATAAGTCAAGAAGTGTAGTAAATGGTTTGAGTTTAGCTAGTCTTACAATTTCGGTATATAAAACCTCAGCACCTTCGACATTTATTTGAAAAAAAGCATCTGGTGATATTCGAAACTGCAGATCTAACAGATTTTCAAATAAATATGGCTCGCCATGAAGAAGTTTGAAAGGAGATTGTTCATTCGTGCAGCGGAATGATTTGCTGAAAGCAAAAAGAATACCTATTATTATAATGCATCTATTCATGGTTTAAAAGGAAAAGGAAGGAGAAACTGTACAAAAATTAAGTTTGCATCATTATCTATTATTGTTTATATCCGACTACGTTTCATCCAAAATTGTGGAAAAAAATCTTTTGCATTTTAGACTATAAAAAAGAGGAAAAAATTAATAAATAATAAAAATGCCCCTGTCAAAATCCAACAAACAAGCAAACTATTGTGCCAAATGAGAGAGGTTTTTTTGGAATTATTATACAGGCTTTTTCATTTTCAATATACACTTAAGGCTTATGAAAAAAAACGAGCCCGCATAAAATAAGTGCTAGAACTGCGAAGCTTTTCCACTGTGAAAATTTTTCTTGAAGTTTCAATAAAATGCGCCCACCATGTTTGATGGAATAGTGATGTTGGCATTACTCCGCTTTTTTGGAAGAAGTTCAGCAGGTCCTCTCGTTCTTTCTCTATATCAAAGGGATTTCTTTCAGCAGGATGACTCACTGCAATGGCCATAGTTTCACCGGCAGAGTTTGATCTTACTGTAAAAGTACGGAAGCATCCTCCATCGTCCAGCGAGTAACACACTGGCAAATTAGACGAACGAATAAAATTTTGATACACCTGTTAAAGGAACATTCACAGAGAGAGGATTAAATTCCAAACTAAGATGATAACAAAGATTGGCTACAAAAAATTGTCTCAACCTGTCACAATAGGATATTGGCAGCTGACAGGCAGAGAAGTCCATTCATTAAAGCAAAACAGACTACTTGGACACACAAGGAATTTGGATAGCAAGATAACAACAATTTTTATGTGGAATGACTTGATAATTCAAATGATTGAAGAGGCGTTCTTTTAATTTGCAGGGAAAGACAAGAATAAAGGGAATAAAATATGAGGAATTCACCCGTGATTTAAAAGGACTAGTTGTAATAGTCAGAGAATTGTACATGTATTTTGATGATTAAAGCTTATGATAGATTGGCAAAAAATAATGAGATCTGTTCAAACACAAAGTTTCTGCATTAAATATTAACGGTTATATCATGAATGTATGAACAGCTTTTCTTTACCTAATTACCTACAATCTTGAAGCGCTTGCTTTTTCAGTAAAATATATGAGGCAAGATATGATGTACTTGAACATTCTATGGCCATAGAATACGAGGGCACATTGCAAAATGAAAACTTTAACTTGCAATTTTAGAAAATAAAGGCCGCACTGATTAAAAAGACAGAAGATAAGAATAAAGCTATGAGATATATGAAAAGAAAGAAGAAATTTGTCAATGAAAAAATTTACAGTTACCTCTGCAAGAGCTTTGTGTTCATCTTTGATGATGGATAAGTGGGTGGCTGGAACGCAAACGATATTAGACTTCGCTAACTGCCCAATAAAAAAACCAACTGTTTTCGGATTTCCATCCACTCCATAATGTATGCTGAATTCATCTTTGTTCCTATATTTTTCTATAACTGGCTGGAAATATTAATTATAGTTTACATGAAATGATCATCTTTATCAGTACAGATTGAGACGATGGGTCAGTTGCGCTCCTCACTGCATCTCATGTTGATGGTTTAAGCTTATACTTAGATAAGTAAAACAAAAAAGACAAGTACAATTGTAGAGTTCCTACATCCAAGAATAACGGAGATGTGCCCTTTGAAAAACAGGATGTAAGATGTTATCCAATATCCACCATGCTAATACATACCACGGCTTCTTCTACTTTGGATTCATCAATTTGTGATACACACATTTGCACTGGTTCCCTGACTTAAAACACAGATGAAACCAAAGCAAAAGAAATTATGGTAGGCACCATGATGGGGGAGGTTGTCATATGTCAATGTCTTTTTGGTGACATTGTAATTCATATTGGACATGATTACTTGGTTTTTGGATGGATCATATTACCTGTCATCAAAACACGATTCTGTGACTAGCACAACTGACCGTTAAAATTTTTTAGTGGAGGGAGTTGAGTTTATTCAAATCCTTTTGTATCATTCAACAATGTCTGTCATAATTATTTCCAGTGCCTCCAAAGCAGTGAGTGCACAATCGTATTTGGGTTAAATTGGCTTTTTATCAATATCAAACCATGAAATTCTTAAAGCTGTTCTTTGGATAACTGATATTAAATCCAAAACAGGAAAATAGAGTTATTACTCGGAATTGATTACGAAAAATTTGAATTCTCCTTTCACGAGAAGAACAAGAGTCTACTTTGATCAAATCATGCACTGCAACAGTTTTGCTAAGCTTATCAATCAATTAAGCAGTGTTCTTTCTGAACCCTGAAGCAATCACTTGAAATGTAAACAACGCGCAATAGTTGAGCCAAAGCGCCGAGATGGAAGTTTTCACACTTTCATACCACAGAGACTTTACAAATGTGTCTTAAGTATGTGATTGAACTCAATTAGATTTTTGTTTTTTCAGAGTTTGAATTCATGTATTGAAAAATGTCAATATTTTGGTTAAGAGTTACTTTCAAAATTTTCATTGTACAAATCGTGCTATACATGAAATTTTGATGGAGAACATTCATTATAAGGCTTGAATTTGTATCTTGCTTAGTGATCCATGCACAGAACTATTTACTCTCATTATTTATCTTAAGAAATGCTTACTCTCACTGACCTCCAGACCACCCTTGATGCCATTCAATCCAAGTAGCCTTATTGCAAATCCTATCACTTTTTTTTCCCCCCAAGTTTCAAATAGCCTCCATTGGCTAATCCCACGCTTACCACCAGCCCCTGGTGACCATTGTCTGAGACCATCAAACTCAGGTTACCTGGCCGGAAATCGAACCCGGGACCTCTTGGTTATATGGCCAGCGGTGCAACTACTACACTACAGGAGGCAGACTCCTGGTATGGCTAGGGTCATTTGGTCTGAATGTTGAAGGAAAAAATCTGAGCACTTACAGAGGGAGAGATTTTTTCTACAGTACAACCATTCACGTTTCCTTTAAATTTGAGGGTTTTAAATCTCTCAATGATCGTTTGCCGGATCTGATGACTCCAAGATTGTTTTTTTTCCAACTGTTCCTCATACGATATGTTGCCAAAGGGCTCCATGACCTCTCTAATGGCTTCATACTGATTTTCAGATGTGACTGGCAAGTCATGACCTTCCACTGCCAAGTTCTTACCATTTAAGAAATATGAAAAAAGAAAATAGAAAAAATTAATGTAAAGATAAATTTCAAATTAATATATTGGTGGTTTGTAATGATGATGAAGAGTCCTTACATTATCTTCTTGTGCGTTAAGGTTTAAAAATTCAAAAGTGAAACAGAAACTGAGATGATTAAGAAAATGAATGGAATAAAAAAAAAAAAAAATCGGCTATTTGATTAATCTAAAAAAATAATTCTTCACGTCATTCAGCTTGGTTCGTAAGTGTGGTTGGACTGGCATGCAAAGGGTAGCATTGATTTTAAAGTAAAAAATCTTGGAAGATTTTGACTTCTTAGCCAAAAAATTATTGAAGTATCACATTCGTTACAATGATCAATTACTGTATCGAATGCAATCCTTCTACTCACAATCAGTCAAATCCTGTTCTTGTCTCTGAGTATTTAGAAATATTTTTTGTCGGATCTGCTTTTATAGGTCAATGCAAAGGGACTCTCATCATTTCTGCCTGTAAAATCAAAATCTGATGAGATTTTTCATCGAAGGTGATTCATCACGGTTTCTGGCATGGTCGAACTAGGATGTGATAAATCACATTGATCATGTCAAAAACCTCAACAGATTTTGAATCTTCAGCCAAAACAAGGAGGATAGCCCCTGCGCATGAGCCTCGAGAATCATTCTGAACTCAAAAATTGGCAAAATTCAGAGAAATGAAAGCAGAATATTACTTGGAAAAAAGCCTCTTATTCATTATGGTTAGGTATTGATTTCTGTATCAAATGTACTGTTTTGGTCCAAACAATAATCTACTTTCATTTCTCTAAATTTGTATAATTTTTCGGTTAAGAATGATTCTTCAGGCTCATGCGCAGGGGCTCTTGCCCTTTTAATGGCTGAAAATTCAAAATCTGCCAAGATTTTAGACATAGTCCGTGCGATAAATAGCATGCCAGTTCGAGCACGTCAGAAATATTGACGAATCACCTTAATCAATAAGTTCACGTTGAAATCTACCCTGAGATAAACGTTGACACTGGTATTATTTTTTCAAAATGAACCCTGTCAGAACGATACAACTCTACAGTTTTGTCCACACAAGCGCGGTTCGAGGAACTAGTTCCTGAAATCCTTGGTTTCTGGAACTAATTCGTCGGAACTGAGCTCGTGTGGAAGAAGCCACTTAGTTGAAATTTGAGAGAGTACAATTGAGGGGGAAGTAAACTTACAGAAATTTGACTGAAGTGCTTTAGATTCCTTTCGAATAAGCCGTTTCGGATGGAGGACTCTGTTTTCAGCTTATTGAATAAGAAATTGCAATTTTTTCTCAGAGCTGTATGAGACATGATGCCTTCCTTTCGGCCTTGTTGTTTCAATTATTCCTGTTGAATACACGGGACTTTTCGCAGAAATATTAGTGCATGCAATGATGGGCAGTAACAGGGCGATAACAACAAATGCATTGTGACTGTGACAGATGAATGCTTAGGTTAGGTTAATGAAAGAAGCATTTGCAAATGACGAGGACGTGACTTGAGGTCAAAATTATAGCCGAAAGAAAAATTTGACCGAAACCAAACTGCACTGCTTCAAAAACGAAGAAAAATGCGTCGTTCACTTTAATTGATCACGAATGGACTCGTGCACAATTGTAGGTTATGTATGGTTATGTATACTATATACTAACTGTTCTGAAAAATTTCCTCCAGAGTCCAGAGAGGTAAAGTCCGTTCCCAAAAAGTAGTCAACGATTTTTTGTTATTGTTATGAACCAGAGATAAGATGTTTCAAGGATTTTTTTCTAGCATTTATCAGCAGCAGAAAATTTAGTGAAAGTATTCTAAAATTTTTCTTCATTCTCTATCGGGATCGGGAAGGAATTTTGGACCCACAGAAACTTTTTGTCACCATCAAATGTAAGTTCTATCGGTTTTACTTTTGAGGTTAAAATCAAGTTTTAGTCGTAAAATTTTAGGAACCGCAAGGTCGATTTAAACATGATTTTTTAATGATAAGCGGATCCATTTTAATTTAATATTCAACAATTTTTTTTATAGATGAGCGATAGCAGTGATGATGATGATCTTGAAGCCCTACGGCAAGAAGCTCTGAAATCCCTGAAATCGAAAAACCAGGCCAACCCTGCTTTATCGAGTTCCTGTGTAACCACTGAAAGAACAGAAAGAAATCGTCCTGATAGAAATTCATCGCAGATTAGCAAGGTTTGTTGATCACATTTTCTTCTGTTTATTTGCCCATTTGCCACAGTGCACTGGAAGAAATGCTGTGCCTCCTACGTATTGCGTATATCTCTACTCCATTGCTCAAGCAGCTTATCAGAAGTCTTATTTAAATTCCTTAAATGGAACAGATCTCTGGTGTCAAGATATTCTTTCCAGTCGTGTAGCCGTCTCTCTTTTACTTTTCATGATTAATACATTTTTCGAGAAGTAAACTTGAAAAGATCTAAATTGGTTGCTTTTATTCAAAATTTTCATTTCTATTTGCTTTTTTCAGCCAAATTTTTTGCTTGCATGTACTGTGGAATATTTTTCGGACAGGAAAAGAGTCACTGACGTTTCCAACTTAATTTGCTGATTAAGAATGAAGTTTGGTTGGAAGTTTGCAATATTGTGAGGGGAAATAAATGTTTTCCTGGTTTAGCCATCAATCTTGTTTCACCCTCTATCTACTGTGACACTCCATTTAGGCACTAGATATTGGTTCAAGTTGCACAACCGTCTCTCCATTTTGTTTTCCGTAACTTTAAGTGACTTGCCCCATGTTTGTGGTATGATCAAAGTGGTGCGCAGCATATTGCATAGATCAAGTAAAAAATCTCAGCTTATTAAGACCTTTTAGCCAAGAAGATGCTGAAAGCTTCTGCCCATGAGTCTGATGAATCATTTGCAAAAATAAAATTTGCCATATTTGGAGCAATGAACACATGATCTGACTGCAAAAAAAGAGTCCCATTCAATTATGTCAATTCCCAATAAGTGTACTCACCTTTCGAGTCTGGCAACAGATCCGCCACCATGATTCTTGCGTTTATTTATGATGCTTTACTGAAGACAGCTAATCTTCTTTTGCATTCTAAAGGTGCATTAATGTATTTTGTGTGTACTTCAGCAATCAATTTCCATCATTAAGTCTACGTAGGGCCCAAGGTGTAAGGGGCGCTCATGCCAATGCACCCTACTTATGTGCCTTTTCCCTTTTATTTTACAGAATGATCATCCAGCCGTAAAAACTTCACTTGAGCAATCCTCTCCATACCGTAAGTGTCTTATATGTGATTGTATACTGAAATTTCAATTTCATTACTTGTCAAAGTTCCAGATTTAGGTAGGAAAATACTGTGACATTTTACGAACATTGACTGGGAATAATTTTAACGGTGGTGTTGACTTGTGTGAATAGAAATATCAAACACCATTAATCAGATCAAGAATTTTTTCAAATGTTCAGTCAGATGGTCAAAATTTAAAGCCTTGTGTGTTTTTGATGACAAGGTGTAATTTTTAAATATTTTTAAAATACAACTTGATATAACCATAAATTTCTCTTAAACCCTCATCAAATCCCTTAGTACACTTACTAAACAGAGAGGATGCATGAAGATAATTTGCATTCACCTCGTCAATACTATTTAGCATGGGTGACTTCCTGAGTTTTAGCTCATGAATGGCTTTTGCACTGTATCGAGAGAAACATCCATCTTGTCCTCACTCTTGCAGTCAATTCGTTCATGAGAAACCTCATCGTCAAACTTTCAAAATAGTGAATTACCGATGCCACCCTTCTTTACCAGTATGACAGCCTTGCCTGAACTCATTAATGTCTTTGCGCTGGTTTCGATGTGATTTTTATAGGTTCTTTGCGTCTAAATGGACATATTTTTTACTAGTAGTTCTTCCATATTAATTGCATATCCATTTTAAGAATCTTTTATCATTGTCCCAATTTCTTAGCTATTTGTTTGAATTATGAAAGTTCCTATTTTTCCGGTTTTGTAAATTTACAGCTAAGAAGAGCATTCTACTCATTACGCATTTTGTATTTTTCAGGAAATCGATCACCAGAACATGCAGGCAGAGGTGAGAAGTCTGTGCTAGACAGAGTTCGCAGCAAGTATGATCCTAGAAACCAGTCCGATCATCGTCAGGATCCACATTCAAGCGAAAAATTCACTAATGACCCAAGGCGCTCCAGGGGCCAAAATAGGTTTTCCAGAGAGCCTTTTTCAAAGCCTAACACAAATTCTAAGTATGACTCTGATCATAGAAATCCCAAAAGATTTGACAGAAATTACAACTACCCTAGGAGACGAACAAATAGTAATGAGAGGAGGAGAAAGACACAGCTTAGACGATCTCATTCTCCTGAGCATCTGCACTCGAATCGCAACCCAAGATCAGTCTCACCCTCAAATCATAGGAAGTTCCCTCATAGATCGAGCCGGAGGAATGATAAACAAATATCTCACGAAGCATCTGAATATCAAGATGGAAAGTCACCAGATCCCTTAACCTCACTACCTCTTTGTTCTCCAAAACACTACGTTGAATTATTCTATGGGAAAAAACTCTCGTCAAATAATGTAACTGATCCAGGTGTTTCAAACTTGGACATAAATGATGAAGATCGTGCCTTACTTTCAGAAAAGTCACAGTCAGAGAGGGACCCTGTCTTGTCTTGCCCTGAAGAAATGATTACAGATTCTGAGAACCCTGGAAAGTCAAATCGGGAAGCAGAGTTCCCCCTAAAACCCCCATCCTTTAGGAACGAAATTGTATCTCATCAGGTTGAAAGAATCAAAAGAACTTTGAGAAGTGGCCCACCATTGAGGACAGAAGAAAGAACCCGTGATGGAAGGTAAATGTTTTTCTCATCGTTATGTTTTTACTTTACCACTTACATTGTGCTTATTATGTACATACACCTGTAACAGAAGCATTTAACTTGTTTTTTTCCCCAGAAATTTGTGATTTTTTTTTTCTGGGGAGATTGGATAAAGGTCTCTTGTATTTACTTATGGGTAGCATATGAAACAACTCTATCACATAGGGGGAATCTCACAAGAGGGCTCCTTCCAATGACAGTCGGAGTTTTTGAGGTTGGCAAATCTAATGTATTGCTATTTATCTTCCCTATGGGCTTCATAATGGAGAAAACTAGGTGGGATGCATTAATGTCTAGAATCAGTAGTTTCAGTAGAGATGACCGTTCCCAGAAATTTTTAGATATATTTAGATTAAAATGCAGTTAAGTTGTCTAAAAAATTTGAAGAAAAATATGAATTCGTTTTTTTATTAAAGAAAATATAGCAAAGTCTGGAAGCTTTTATGGCAATCCTCCTTCGTTTGGCAGTAATGTCTTTGTCTCTATTACTCAAGGGAACAGGAATACAGCAAAAACTGAAATGATTCGTCTTGTTGACATCTGTAGCTTTTGCATGGCTTATTGATGTTGGAAAAAGCATCGTTCATTATAATACAGCCCTGTGAGACATCCTGTAGGTTTTGCTCACAGTATTGCAATAAGTGTTGCTGCCAGCAAGTAAACATCAGTAAACAGATTTTGAGTTACCTCCTCAAATTCTTGTACAAAGCAGGCTGCTCATCTCTAATTTTCTTGATTTACCTTTTTCAGGCTCTCATCCTCTGGATCAAGAACACTTACAAATGATAGAAAGTCCAAGAGAACAAAACTTAATCACGAGTCCCCTTTGAGTAAAGGCAGATTGGGTGCAAGAGTTTTGGAGAAGAATATCGATGAAGGAAATTCTAGCCAACCAGATATGGAGACAGAGAGGCCTATAGACCCTGTCTTGGAAGCGAGACGGAAAAAATTTGAATGCAATGATGTTGTGAAAGTTGTTCCCAAAAAGATCAAGCTGTCCAACATGTCCTCAAAACCAGATCTCATTCCAAACGATGAGTCTGATCTTAGGAATCTATTAATTGCAAAACATCGAGAGAAATCCATATCAACAGCTTTGTATTTGGAAGAAAAGACCAGTGTGTTACAAAATCTGTATAATTCAGGTGCTGTCAGTCCTCCCAATATGCATCCAGATCTATCTTCCCTCGAGGAAACAATAACCCCAACTGAAGAACCACCGCCAGTCTCATGCCATAAACCAGTTGATTTCCCCTCAACTCATAAGAATGATGAAGCTGTGGAGTCTAAAGGAAGTGAAGAAGTTAGGGTAAAAGTTGAAATTGAAACAGAATTTAGTGAATCGCTCGATTTGAACCCTACTGATAGCTCAAACATGAACATGAATTTGAATCTAGATCAACCCCCTGCGCCTCATATCTCAGAGAGCTTACCCAATGCATCTAATTATCCAACGTGTGACTTTAGCTCTGAAACAGAAAATATTCCTGTCTTTGAATCAGCCGACTACGCTGCCGCTAAAGGTTGGTATTTTCTTTTTAATTTTGTGTTTTCGGTATCAAATTGGCAGACCCTGAAGTGCAAAGAAAACAATGCTTCACCAGAATAATTTCTGTACCAAGTATCATAAGTAATTATGCTGTGTAAATGCTGTTGGTACATTTAGACGTACAACACTGATTTTTAACAATGGCATGACTGGAATTTTATATCCAATATATACCGCACCTCTGATAATGATAATATTCTAAGTTTTTCTAATTTATGTATTTATTGTGTCTATAAACATCAACTTCAGCTGAAGATTTTTAAGGTAATGCTGTCCAATTAAACTGCATTTGAGTTGTACAAATGCTTTTTTCTTTTTAACAGAGGAAAATATTTTATTTTCAATTTCATTTGTTTCAGCTATCAAAAAAGAACCAACATTTGCTGAAATAGAAGAGAATTTTAAACCTCCAGCAGAAAAACCTATAATTGATGAACCAGAACTCATTCCGCAACAACCAGATAAACCGGAAGTATCTATACCTGCTGGACCAGTACTAAAGATCAAGCCTCTGACAGAATTATTGGACAAGAAAGTTTTGAAGAAGGTTAAAAAGAGGAAGAAAGAAGAAAAAAGAAGTGCAAAAAAGAAAAAAAAGAGGGCAAAATCCAAAGAAAGGGATAGAGAGAGCTATGCTGTAAAGCTTTCAAAACGAGCAACCAAAGTTTCTAGCCAGGTGAGCAAGGATTATGAAATTTGTGCAAATGCTAACTTTTCTCATTCAATATGAATTAAAACACCTTCCCCTGAAAATCGCCCTGATGGATGTCATCTGCTTAGCTTATGCTTACCACGTTTGCTTCGCTATGGATTTATCAATAAGTAATGTGCATTTTTGCATTAGTAGCTACTTTTCCATCCCTAATAATCTCGGAAGAAAAAATCATGTTATCCACAAATGAATGGTGTCATCAACCAAGTTTTTCCACGGGCAATATTTCTGTTATTATTGAGTGTATTAAATAAATTTGGCCAGATCTGCTTATTTTTTATGGTATGCAGATCAGGCCCAAGTAAGTTAAGTATGGGCTGCAGAGGAATACCTTGCAACATCAGAAGTGCCAGCCACAAGGAACGAAGATCGAACAAGTGCACTACAACATCGATAGCTTACAGCATGAAAGCGTGAAAGCGCTCTACAGGAAGCGGCTGGATGAGAAACTGGGAGTAGAAACTTTCGATACTGCAGAAGAGTTGTACCAGTTCATCAAAAGTTGCATACATTCAGCTGCGAAGGAAGCCCTGGGTATGTGTAATGAGAGCAAGGATGTACAGAAACCCTACTGGTGGGACAAAGAGGTAGAGGAGGTAATTGAAGAAAAGCGTAGGAAGTACCATGATTATCTGGCTTCTAGGACTGCAGACACCCGCGGCGCGTATAGGAAAGCCCAGGCGAGGGTTCGTCTTTTAATCACCAGGAAGAAAAACGAGTCTTGGGAGACCAACTGCTCAAGGATTGACACATACCTGGGGGGAAGGAAGAGTGCTGAGAGCTGGAAGCTGATCAAAGGCCTAAGAAGGGACATGAAACGGGACATTATATCTCCGATAACAATCTCACAGCTTGACGAACATTTTAATAAATTATTGACGGAAGGACGACCAGAGTTTCAAACGGGGAATGCTGAAAATATAGTCGAGGATCACTCAATGGAAATTCGAGTTGAGGAGGTGGTCAAAGCAATCAGGGAATTGATGAATGGAAGAGCTCCTGGGCCAGGAAACATTCCAGCCGAGTTAATTAAATGTGGGACTGGCAAGTTGGTTAACCATCTCAGGGATTTGCTGCAGAAGTGCATTGACGGTGATGACATCCCGAAAGAATGGAAAGAGGCCTGGATAACAGCGTCGCATAAAAAAGGAAGGAAGGATGACTGTGGGAACTACAGAGGGTTAGCGGTGACAGGAACGATAAGTAAAATTTATGGAAAAGTGCTGAAAGCGAAGATCGAAGAGGAGTGGACCCCGTTCGAGGCGGAGGAGCAAGCAGGTTTTAGGGCTGGTCGGTCTACCGCTGATCATCTGTTCTGTGTTACCCAGTTAACCGAAAAGAAGAGAATTGTTGGCCAGGAGCTTCATTTAGTGTTTTTGGATATTGAAAAGGCTTATGATAGTATTCCTCTTGTGAAACTCTGGGAAGTCCTAGAAGAAACTGGTTTTAGTAAAGGACTTATTGGGGCAGTCAAGCAGTTTTATCGGGGGGCTTTTGCTAGAATTAAGTGCCAAGGAAGGCTTTCAGACGGTTTTTTTGTCACCAAGGGGCTTAAGCAGGGATGTTGTCTGTCACCGACGCTGTTTAAGATATATCTAGAGCACGTTCTGAAGGAATGGAAAAGAAAGTGTGCCGGCATGGGCGTCCCTCTAAATGACCAAGAAACACTGTTCACGCTATGCTTTGCTGACGACCAGGTAGTCATAAGTCAAGATCACGATGACGCGGAGTATATGACCCGGAAGTTGGTGGAGGAGTACCGCAAATGGGGCCTCGAGGTTAGTGTCCGTAAGACAAAAAAGATGTCAGTCGGAGGCGCTCAGCAAAGCATAGTCCTGGAGGATGGTCAACATATAGAAAGTTGCGAACAATACAAGTACCTGGGGGTGAACCTGACTTCGGATGGGAAGCTGGATCAGGCCATTCGGGACCGTAATCTTCTAGGAAGGAAAGCCATCGCCATGCTTAATGGGATCCTTTGGGACCAAAGGATTTCCAAAGACAACAAGAAGAGGATTTATAACTCGGTTGTCAAGCCTATTATCACCTATGGCAGTGAAGTGTGGCAGTTGAAGAAGCGGACCCAAGAAATGCTCAAGGCGACCGAGATGGATTTCTGGCGAAGATCGGCTGGAATCTCGAGGAGAGAACGTGTCAGGAATGAACGTGTCCGAGAGATAATGGGCGTTGAGGGGACGATTGTGCACGATATCATGACCAAGCAATTGGTATGGTATGGGCATGTGCAGAGAATGGCTGATACCAGGTTGCCGAAGAAGGTGTTGGAGTGGGTCCCCCCAGGTAGGCGACGGAGAGGGCGTCCAGCCAAACGGTGGGTAGAGGGCATCCATGAAGAGATGGAGAGATGCCAGCTTCCGGAGGATCTCTACCATGACAGATTCCTGTGGAGAATAGGCGTCGCAGAGCGCCCTAGCGCGCCGTAAAAGCGGCTCATACATACATACATACATACAGATCAGGCCCATAACTTGGTTAGTTCTGAAGTTACAGCACCAGTTCTGATACTTTTTGGACATCCTATGTAATTTGTGATTTACGCATGTAAAAACAAAATTCCATGACTTGCATATGTCTACACGCTTGGAAGTGCTGCCTTGCAGGTTTAATTTTGTTGATATGGCATTAATTCATGATAATTCTTTTTAATGGGTGATTTCTATCTGTTCACTTTGGCATCTGTTTGTAAGAGGATAATGTCTGTATCTGTTCAAAAATCTACCGATTTTCGGAGGGTCCTCATCAACTCAACCTTTTGAGTTGAGCCAACACGCGTGTAGCTCACTCATGTGGTTGCCTTTCATTGCAGCTGGCGCTGCATTAGGCACTATAGCAAGGATAGTAGAGCAATTTGAAAATTCCTCCATAAACTCAAGAATGAGAAACACTGCTCCTCTCATATACTCATACTGTTAATTGGAAGTATTCATGACGAAAGGAATCGTGTTAATTAAATAGAAAGGAACTACGAATCTAGGGTTCATGTGCTCCGTACTCTCTTTCCATTTTGATTTCATTCCTTTGTACATAATTTCTTTTGGCATAAATATATTCAATTAGCTTATGAAAAAGCTCAGAAGCCAGAGTTTTCAAACGTTATCCTTGTTATCTTTTTTCTCTTTCCAGAAAGTCACAAGAAAAGCATCTTTTCCTACCCGAATAGTCAGATCGGCACTAGAAGAAGCACTAGGAAAGTAAGTAACAATTCAATATTAACACTGCAAGCAAAATTCTGATTGCTCACTCAAACTTGCAGCATATAAAATCAATGTTGATGGATTTTAATCCATCCATTATAGTTGGAGGCTCTTTAAAGAATGAAGAAGGAACATAATTTCTAAACCACAATGAAAATTGCTCATAGTTTCTCTGTTGATGTATTTGCTTCATGTTCCAATAGTGTGACACAAAAAGATCAGCTGATCAAGCTGAACCAAGATCCATCTCTCATCCAAGGATAGTTTTAAACAGCACTCAAATATACTTTCAGTAATATGTTTTGTGCTCTAATCAAAGGGTTGGTTACCTACTTGATAAGATAGTATACGAAAAAAAAAAAATTAAAAATTTCGCCAGTCTTTTTATTCATTTATTTTCATTGCAATTCAATTTATTTTATTTTATTTCATTTTATTTATTTTTTTTTTTTTTAAAGGAAAAAGCGTAAAGTTTTCAATGAAGGTGAAGATGTCCCATCAACTAATTTAGAACTTCACTCAAGCAAAGGTTTGTAAGCATTTATTTTCTCTTTTTTAGTTTTTTCCCGAAAGGAGTATCCCCCTCTTATTTTTGATCAGTTTGATGCTGTAAGACGGAAATGACAATTCCGCTTTTATTTATTTGGGAGTGTCATGTGTTATAAGCATCATGGAAATGAATTATCTACGTTTCTAGTCATCTACTCACTCGGTGTTTTTCAAGTGTCACAATGAGTAACTTTGATACTTATTTTTTGTATGAACAACTTATAATTTATAAACTTGTCAGTTATGTCAGTCTTCATGATTTTACAGTGTATATTACCATTATTTGACACACTTGCAGACATTTGATGGTATCGTTTTGGCAAAGTAAGAGAAGAGCAAATTGACTTACGTTTAGTCTAAATGGCAGATGTTCTAATTCATTTTATACTCAGCATTTTAGGTAAAACTTTTGAAAAGGTCTCAAGGAAAAAAAAACAAAAAAATATATAAGTAAATAAAAACTAAATTCATGCTGATGCGTCTTGGTGCCATTCAAAAAATCTTTTCTGTTCTATGTTTGCCAAAGCTTTCAACTTTATCTAGAGCATCAAATAAAAACAAACGCCTAGCAGGATGTAATACCTTAGAGTTGCGGATCAAACCTACACACCGTGATATTCTCTTAAGGTTTAGCCCCTGACAGGCTTCTGTGAGATTAAAAATCTATACTAAAACTAAATAAGGTGGGCTTAATTGGGGTCCACCAACGACTGTAATATCTTTCACAATAAGACCTCGATCCGCATCTGGACTTAACAGATCGATCTTTCGGTCCCTTCAAGGAGGCCATAAGAGTGATGTCAAATTACCTGATGAATAACGGATTGAAACCTCCTGAATAATTCACATTTTTTCCTAGGGAAAACTTTCATAGGGAAAATAGAGATTTTTAGAATTTTTCAGGAATGAACTTGAATTAACAAATTTTTGTTGATTTTTGCCGATATGCGCTACTTTGAATCAATAGTTTTTGCAATTTAACGGATTAAACCATCAGTCTAATGAAATCCAACAAATGGAGGTCTATAACTGTAATTAATTGTTAGAAAAATTAAGTTGTGCGTCAAAGATCTTAAATTTCAATCCTAACTGGCACATCTGTGTGGAATTTGGATTCATTTTTCCTCCTCTCATGAATTTTTGAATATTTTTCGTTTTAGATCACCGGAAAGTACTGATTCTTGATGAGTCCCCCATTGATGAACCCAATGAAGACTTCAGTCCACCCATCCAAGGTGGGTTTTTGATTTTTTTGATGTTTTTTTTCGAATGTATTGTTTGTCTTAGATAGAGGCAACCGCATCAAAAGTATAGGGTTTTTGAAATATTTCCACTGAAATCAGAATAAGTTTGATCATTTCTTCTTAACTTCTCTTTTCTTAAAAACCTGCCACTTACTACTACACTCCTTCCTTCAGCAGGTAATATGTGCACATGCTGTCAGGAAGAATGATTCTATTCTAGATTTGTCCATTTTTGTCTCCAACAAAATGCTCTATTACAAGAAATTTAACCAACACTCATTATTTATTTTTTCAGAATAACCTCTTTTTACTACTGAGATTTTTGTCTCAGATGTATTTTCTCACATAAGTGAATAGCTTTGACTTGGTAATCCAGAGTATAAATTGAATTCGTTGAAACATGCAGATGTTTCAGATATATTCAATGATATTCACACAAAAAGAATCATTATTAAAGATTCTATAGTCTTCTACTTCATTCATTGAATGACTCAATTTTCTAACTTGGTCCAAATGTAATTTTATGTTTCTGCGTGTTAGAGAGCACTCTAAATTTGTTTAAAATTGATTTTCAGCAGCTGCTGAAACAGAAAGTGGAGAAGAAAAACTTCTCGAGGAAATTGAAGAAGATTTGGATAATGATACTCTTACTTTCCGATTATCATCGAAGACTCCATTATATAACTCCAAAAAAGCAAAGAAAACTCCAGATATCTACAAGATGATCCAGCTGAACCAGGTATGTGAATCAAATGTAATCAAGTTTTTAGTAGAGCTGCATTACAGCTTCAATTACAACTATCAAATTTTGAGAAAACTTTTAGGGCCTTGTCTCCACGGGACGTTTTCATGGGATTTGTCCCAAGTTCGAATCGCAGGAATGAAACTTCTGGGATTTATCCCAATTACCGTCTCCATGGGACGGGACTCATACAGTCGTGGGACTAGTTTGTGCAGGAAGATAAATTAGGTAAAGTCGATTATTTAACCGGGATTAAAACAATGATTACACTCAATTGACAATTAGACACATTATTTTAACTGAACAAACATTAACAATGGAGTAATCAACAAAATATCGCACAGTTCGTTTTCACTTCTTCCTCTCTCAGTGGGTCCTATGGGTACAAGGACCATACTTGGTACTGGGAAAAATATTGATTAACTCAATATTTTTCCCAACTTCGTAAGTGGGATTTTTCCCTGGGACAAATCCCATGAAACGGCCCGAGACAAGGCTGAGGAATGATGTTGATTCGTTCTCCTCTCAAAAAGTAAAACAGGATGGAAGATTTTTGAACACTGCGAAGGAGTTACATGTTTGCGAGTTTCACCAGCGATACATGACTTAATTGTATTTGGTATCCTGTGAGGCTCATGAGTGTTATTGCATCAGCTAAGCAACAGCTTGCACCCAAGCTGAACTAATTAGTACATCCGTGGAAATATTTATTTACTCACCATTCCCAAATTTTAGTTTTTCTTTTTCGCATTTTTGAATAAGATACTTCATTTGTATAGTGTCATTTTTCATTCATTACACCTTATTGAAGGGCATTTACAGTTATTTTCATTTACACAAGAGTTAGGGTCAGAGCTTTTAGCATCCTAAGATTCCGAAGTCCAAAGTATCATAGCAGAGAGGTTTTTTCTGTAGCGTCCCCTCAGCATTTTCCTCTAACACTTAAATAGCCTCTCTCCAAATGGAGGGCACAGATTTCTCCTTTTTTCCCATAGCTTTACTTTTATTCTTTTATAATATAATACTGCGTGAAAATGTCTGTTTGATTCCAGATGTGACTGAGAACATTACATAAATGACAGAGCAATCCAGGAAATCTCAGAATGTCTACCTCTTTGCATTAATTTTGATCAATTTTCAATTAAAAGTTACTTTTTTTTGTCGCGATTCTTCAAGTTTTATTTATTAGCTAAAGAAACACAATATCTTTTATTTTATTTTTTGTTAAGGTCAATAGTCTTTTCTAGGGCAGATGTTTGTCTGTTTTAGAAATTAAGAGTATGATGTAAAATTAATTTCCATGTTCTGGTCAGTACTTTAATGGCATCCCAAAATTTTATGAACCATTTGGCCAGGAAGCTTAAGTTTTAGGCACCATCCTTTATGTCTTAGAGGCCATAGAAGCCGTAAGAAATTTTGATAGTAAAACCAAAAATTTTGTACGGGGTAAGATCGCAAAAGAATTCAAGGCTGCATTTTTAATGTAATGGATGGCACAGCGTTCCTTATTTTCAGGTGTTCAAGCCTGATTGTTACACGCATTTGGCACATCTGGCCGAATAAAGTTAAAACACTGGTTCTAGTATTTGAGGATTTTGTGATATTACTCCATTTAATTTATCTTTTCTTTTTTTCTTTCTTCATTATCTTTATTGAAATTCATTGACTCAATGGTGAGATATTTTCATTTTTATCTCGATAATTAAGGATATTTCAAATTAATGCAGGATACCTTTCAGGTGTTATAATTATTTTGTCTTCTGTGAAGAGAATTTTGTTCAGAGTTCATGTGCAAATAGCATGCTCTTTATCTTTTGTATTATCTGTTTTTGTTTGTAGTATGTGTTTATGGTACGGTTTTAAAAAAATAACTATAGGCTCTCTTTTCATATTTTGTTCATGACTCAAATGAAATTTGATTGAAGGCAATTTAAATGAATTTTTGAGACTAATTTTTCAATTTGTTGACCCCCGTTCTCTCCTCTCTTTCTCTACTATAACTCTTTGACCATGCACAGTTGTACTTACTCTGAAAAATATGATAAAATGGAGCCCTTTTAAATAATGATCTTGATAATTTTCCTCTCAGAAATTGCCCCTTTTTCAACTAGAAAAATTCTCAAGAATCGCCAAAGCGAATAAAGAAAGGTGGTCCCATTTCGAGATAAGCTGCCATTTAAAAGGCTGTGACGTGCAGAGGGTACATGCTTTGCTATGCAATTAGGATGTACCCGAAACGTACCCGATGCCATGTGACGTCGAGAGGGTACGAAATGCGACCACCATTCTTTATCCGCCTTGAAGAATTGCATCTTACTTCATCGTTTTTCTCACTTTCTGTATTAAAATTCAAAACTATCACAGTTTCGATCAGTGCCAAATAATAATCACTTACTATCTTTTTTTTTTATAGATTTTAAATTTTTACGTACTTCAAGGTTTTCATTTGATGTAGAAATTTATGTAAATCTCATACCTTCAAAAGTACATGTGGAGCAGAAGTGATAAATAATAGTGTTAAAGTTATTATGTGAGGAATGAAGTGTAATGATTAGCACTCCCTGTTCCAAATAATGATGGTAAATGGAGGTAGAAACACAAAAATCGATTATTCCATTTCATGAAGAAATTAAATACAATATTGTGCATTTCATGTCAATTTATTTCAGTTTGAATTTTTACTAAATACTAACCTCCAATGTTACTTCATATAATAGAAGTTTGTAAAAGAGCATCAAGCTAAGAAAATCTGAGGTCTCATTTTCTTTCTTTGATTCATATAAAATCACCATCCATACTTGAGACTTAAGCTAACTCTAGCTGATTATTTTAATCGGTAAATGTACAAGTTTCCACCAAGCTCAGTTTATCTGAGGCGTTTCAGTCAGCCACGATAGTACTTCAAAATTATTTGCATCAAAATGATTTTACTCAACCGGAGAAGAGGTTTAAATACGTAAGGACAAACTAAATAATTGTCCAAAAAAAAAAAAAAACTATCCTTAGATTGAATTCAATAATGACTTTTTCAATAAGTATGTGGTGATTAGCTGATAGCATCATTAGCAGCCAACAACAATCAATTCTAAGTATATCAGACTGATTGTTCAGAATCCTCAAGTGAAGTATGTACTTGGAGAATTTTCTCGTCACTGAAATAAGTTTATGTCCCAAATAATCCTCCAAATTTAAGGGCTGAGCATTTTTGCCGAAAAAGGAATCTTTCTTTTTTCTTTTTTTCATTACAATTGGACAGGCTTAACGCGAATCAGCCCAACAACTTCGGATGATTGCCTGATTTTCTCTGGCATCTTATTTTTTCGCATTTTTTCAATAGAGAACGAAGCGACACCGTAAATTAATTTTTTTTTTTTTTATTTCTTCATAATCTAGAGTAAATTTGCTGAGTCTAAAATTCTAAGTTCAGAGTCCATTAAACATTGAAAGGCGTCAAGGGAGTGTAGTTCTCTGTTAAAAAAAATAAAACAGGAGAGAATGTTAGGCGTGAACTGCACCAGGTTTGATTTAGGAATCTGTCCAATTTATTTATGTCTGCATCAATCTTGATTGTTATATGTACTAAAAGTTTGGAATTTAATCAATAAATTGTTATTTTTTGATGAAAATTTTAGAATATTTTTTGCCTCTAACCATCCTGGATCTAGTGTAATTTAATGTGCACAATCTTTAATCTGATTTATTGGGTCAGATGTACCAGTTTCGAACAGTCATAGTTCTGTGTAAATGCCAAGTTTCTACATCCAATCATGAACACATGTATTATCATCAATGGAGATCGGAGAAACACGGTCTTTCACAACATCTACACTGGGAACGCATAGGTACCCTGATACCCATTATCATGATGGCCATTTATCCGTGATATGTACTCACTCGTCGGCCATTTTTTGTCCAATGAGAACACAGCCAAAATCAATGTGAAGTAAACCTATGCAACTTGTGCAATTTGTCTTATTCGTAATATGACATCAATGACTGTGTTTTCCAAAAGATGATACCACTCTGAAAATTGAGGATAGAAATAGTGTTTGAGAAAGTTGGAAATAGTGTTAGTCTATCTGGAATCTCATCATCAAAAGACTTTTCGTTTCTAACATCAATCTCTGACTGGCACATTCAATACATTTGGAGGTTTTTTAGAACAATGTAAAATAAAAACGGATTTCTGTACCGATAACTTGCAAGGATCGCCACCGAAATCCATTGAATATATACTGACACATAGAAAATGTCAAATCTTGTGAATGATCATCACTAAATCACAACGATTCTGTCAACTTTCGTCCTTGGCACTTCAATATATTTCCACAAATTCAGTAATCAAAATCAAAGTTAAGACATTCTGACTCAGTTACATTCTCCAATGAATGATTTACTCTGCATTAAATTGGCATATTTTGGGAGGGATTGAGGATGGAAATCAAAAGGACAATATAAATTAATAAAAATATTTATTTTATTTACAATGATTCATAATTTAATTAAATTTCACTCAACTAGAGTAGAACAACAGCTGTAATACTATCTTGTACTTGTGTGTTACTTTAAAAAGAAAAGAAAAGAAATGAAATATTTCTGAAACGTTTGCTTTTTCCAGTGAATTCATTATGCACAAGGTAAAAAAGAGAACATAAGATGATCAGCTCTGTCGTTGATCCTTGCTAAAAATAAAAAAAAAATAAATAAAAAAACCTAACAATAAACAGTGGTAAATAATCTTTTCAGAAGAAGAAGATAACGGAATGTATTTGTTGTTGGGTACATGCCGAATCCTGGAGGTAATGCGTCGCTGAATGAAAGCCAAGCATTTTTTAAAATAATAATGCATTTTTCCCTACTATTTTTTCTTTTTAAACCTAAATGTTGTAACAACAAAGATGAATGGCCTTATACAACTGAAAATTACTTCGTAAGACAAACCTTTGTCAGTTTCCTTCAAAAATAGGACAGAATTTATCCTAAAAACGAAATGGCAAAGCTGCTTCACTAAGTTGAGAATTGATCAACCACAGAAATCAATTGGTTGTGCTTTTTGTCGCTTTAATTAACCTTTCATTTATCTTCCTTTTCTAAAGAGATATCTTAAAGTTTTTCGTAATCTTTGATACTGATGAACATCAAGTAAAGTAACAACTTCCAAGGATGACTTTTACGACTAGAAGTATTTAGCAGAATTTACAATTAATAATGAAAAAAAAAAAAAAAAAATCAGTGGACATCATGACAGTTGTAATTAGGTTTGTAATGAGGTATGTTATCTCACACTCCAGAACTTGCCAGGATATCTGCGGAATTTTCCATTGAAAATTGCAAAGGATTTTATAAAAATAAAGAATAAATAAATACAGTACACCTCCCAAGATTTCAGGACTTAAGAAAGAATTTGATTATTGATAAACGATTTCGGCAAAAGTGACGACACAAAATTCTTTAAAACAGACTACAGAATGAAACCAAGACGTGAAATGTTTCAAGATAACATTTGCTGATCATGGTGATTTTTGTGCGTAAACATGATTTTGATGAAAAAATGAAATAAAAGTGTTATTTTCTTAAAGGCAGCAGATTAGTAGCTCTAACTGACCAAATCTAAGATTGACAAAAAGTTAGAGATTTTTTTTTCCTTCACATTTAATTTCACAATGGGATTTTTGAGGTGAGAGCTGCACTGAGTGAAGCAACAAAGAGAGCAGTTAAGTGAATAAAATGGAAAATTAATGCATTTTCACAGCCAGCTTAATCATACCTACTTAATGCAAAAAATAGGGCCAGATGAGTTTTTACAGAAGAAACCATTAAATCTCACTGTCATTGAGGTTGCAATAAATCTAGGCTTTTAAGAGACTGATGGAAGAAGAAACGGAAAATTCCAAGTATTAAGCCCTTTAATTTCTGAAAAAGAAATTGAATTTTCCTCTTTTTATTAAAAAAAAATTGGTCTTTTAGTGTTCTATTTACTAAATACAATCAATACAATTTGACAGAAAACAATTGACAATCAATTTAATTTATCAAGTTCCACCAATCCTTTAATATTAACTGTTGTTTTCAAGATGGCAGAGACCATAGCTACTTTTGAGTGCTGTAAAGCTACCTGCTGAATAAACAAGAAAAATACTTTTTGATGTGGCAAAGTTTCCTCAATGCTTTACATTAATGAGCTGCAGGCATCAAACCTAAAGAAAAAATGAGCCCCAAATGAAACTTACCTGTATGATCTTTCATTGAAAAACAATATCAGACCTTTTATTTAAAGTTGGAGCTGGAGCCAAACTTTCAAGTGAGTGACTTATTCAAGTAATCTCAACTCCGTTTTTCCGTTTTGAAAATTTCAGCCGAATTATTTCAGTGTTATTCATCGCTATTAATCTCATTACCACCCCGACACAAGTTACTAAAAAATGGAGGTTTTACATTACAAAATAATGAGGTGCCACAGTTGTCATGGTTGCTGGGAATAGGGTCAAGGGACTCCACTTGGTACTTTTGAAGATGATGGATTTCAGAGTTCATTCAAATAAAGAGACATATTTTGGTCACCAAAACAATTGTTTTCTGTTGAAGATTTTGTTTTATTTGCATCACTTTTTCACGACTAATGAAAAATCTAGAAGTGAGGTTAGAGGTCCTGTTAACAAGTGTTACACTTTTGCTAGGAAGTGTTTTGAGAGCAGTGTAATTGTTTCGTGACAATTACCTTGCCAGATTAAGGTGAATCTTCAGCGGTGCATAGTAAGAATTTTTTCCGCGCAGGAAGCGCCACTGCTATGTTTTGATTCTTTGGTCCACGCTATTAGAGTCCGTACAGCCCCACGTGAGTCCTTGAGCTTTTATGAAAGTTTAAGGAATTTCTGTTACAATCAAAGAGTCATAAGTTCTAGCCATAACATCCTTCTTGCTATTGACACTAGAAAAGACGTGAAAAGTAATTTCTGAAGCTCTGAAACTTGATCCTAGAAAAAAGTAGGGTTAAGCATGATGACCTTGATGCAACCAATCGCGATTGATCGCTCTCAGCAGTTGCAGATATCTCTCTCGCACTTACAGATGTCCCATAAGAGAAACTGGGATTAAGTTATGGCTTTTATTATTTAACTCTCAAAGCTCGCGTTTGTTTCTAGGCATTCCAGACGTATGCTGCTAGAACTTATGAGGCTTAGAATTTAATATATCTATCGTGATATTTAAATAATCACTGATTTCAGAGCCAGATTTTAGCAGCGCGACATGGTGGATTTTTCTGAACTACAGCTGAAGATTCACCTACGCTCCTTTAATAGAAACTGAATCCGAACAAAATACGATTGTTATGGGCTATTCCAAATTGTTATGGCAAACAAACTGTGTCTAAGTTCATTCAGGTAGTGTCATAAAAGCAAGTAGATACAGCCTCTGTCAGCTTTTGTACGATGAGTTTCTGAAGTTCAAATTTTCAGGGAGCCTTTTGATTCGCAATTCTACTAAAATTCACCAATTCCTTCTAGTTTAAATCTGATTTGGCTAAATTTTCTTGAGCCAGAACACCCTGAAACTTTGGAGACATAAAGGAACTCTTCCAATATTAAATAAGTAGACATGTATACGTGCCCCTACATTGACAACAATAAATAAACAAATTGAAAAGAACTAATTTGGATCAATGTTTAGATCTTCTTCATCCACATCCTCGTCTGTCGTAAATTCAGAGCCATCACTGCTGTTCCCGTCATCCTTGCTTTCTTCCTCATCATCAGAAATCTGCCATTGAGGATGCTCAGTTGGCACTTCTGGGGCCTCTTGCACATCCAACTAATGGGAAACAAGCAGAAATAACAACAATGAAATTATGACAAAAAATTGAGAGAGACTGAAATGAATTCTACAGGGTGTTCGAAAAGTCCCCTCCCCCCCCTCTAACTTTTGACCTAATTGAGGTAGAGATTTGAAACTTGGAGGGTATTCTTAGATCAAAGGGAGCTACTTTTTGACCCCCTCAAAATTTTTGGGGGCCCCCCCTTGGGGGGGTTATGGACCCTAACTTTTTTTTTTCAAATGGGAAAACCCCCTTTGTGATACCTCGTTCAAAAGAACATAAAAAAAGAAACATATTCGCGCAAACCCGAAGTCATTATCTCAAACCGTTTCAAAATGGCGGCCGGTCAAAGTTCAAAATGGCCGAAAATTGGCACCTCTGCTATTTGCGCATGGATTTGCTTGAAACTCGGTATCTGGGGGTATTTTGGCACGAGAAAAACGAATTTGACGTTAGATTTTTAAAAAAACCCTAATTTTTCAAAATGGCCGCCGGTTTAGGCTCGAAATTTTGACAAACTCGATTTTTTGCCGATGGATTCACCTGAATTTCGGTATCTGGGGGTATTTTGACCCGAGAAGAACGAATTCGACGTTAGATTTTTAAACAAACCCTCATTTTTCAAAATGGCCACCGATTAAAGTTCAAAATTGTCAACAATTGGCAACCTCGACTTTTTGCCGATGGATTCGCCTGAAACTCGATGTTTGGGGGTGTCTGGGTGGGAGAAAATGATAAGCTGAGAATCCTGAAGCTGAAGCTTGAAATTTAACAGGAATCCATCGGCAAAAAGTCGAGGTTGCCAATTGTTGACAATTTTGAACTTTAATCGGTGGCCATTTTGAAAAATGAGGGTTTGTTTAAAAATCTAACGTCGAATTCGTTCTTCTCGGGTCAAAATACCCCCAGATACCGAAATTCAGGTGAATCCATCGGCAAAAAATCGAGTTTGTCAAAATTTCGAGCCTAAACCGGCGGCCATTTTGAAAAATTAGGGTTTTTTTTAAAAATCTAACGTCAAATTCGTTTTTCTCGTGCCAAAATACCCCCAGATACCGAGTTTCAAGCAAATCCATGCGCAAATAGCAGAGGTGCCAATTTTCGGCCATTTTGAACTTTGACCGGCCGCCATTTTGAAACGGTTTGAGATAATGACTTCGGGTTTGCGCGAATATGTTTCTTTTTTTATGTTCTTTCGAACGAGGTATCACAAAGGGGGTCTTCCCATTTGAAAAAAAAAAGTTAGGGTCCGTAACCCCCCCAAGGGGGGGCCCCCAAAAATTTTGAGGGGGTCAAAAAGTAGCTCCCTTTGATCTAAGAATACCCTCCAAGTTTCAAATCTCTACCTCAATTAGGTCAAAAGTTAGAGGGGGGGGAGGGGACTTTTCGAACACCCTGTAGAGAACACTCAGACCACATCTGTGACTTACTTCATAAAGATGAAACAGAATTCTTCAAGTTCATGCAAACTAACTTAAGCACGCAAGATGGTTCATCACTGAAGATAATGTGCATTACCTAATTCTACATCCTGATACAAGTAATCATAGCCATGATAATATACATCCAAATATATTTTACCAAATCCACCTCATCCTGTAAATAATTTAACTGTTAGAATACAGCAAAGGGTTTTTTTTTTTTTTTTTCTTCAAATTTCTGATTAGAAGTTTCAGAAAATTACCATTTACCGTACCTAAAAAAGTGAGTAAAAGGTTTAAATTTGATGCCATCTCTAGTCTCTGCAAAGACCTTGAGAAACTGAAATAAAATTTCCATAAATTTCGATACATAAAAAGTTAATTCATATCAATTTTGTCCAATTGCAGCCCTTCAGGGCAGAAATTTTTCAGATTGACACTGTCAAAATAAGAATCAGAAAAAGGCCTAACAGGTCATACACAATGCAATATGCGAAAAAATTGTCTCAATTTTTCAGGACAATATGTGAAAACATTTAACACTCACACGGAAATAGAGAGAGAGGAAGGACAATTCATAGTGTAAAAAATAAATAGGAAGAAACAAAAAGTGCAACAAACCTTGATGTCATGCATTTGATCAAATCCTAGGTATGAGTCTGAGCGAACACAAACAGTGAAAGTATAGACTCCTTTCCATTTAGGTGCTGTGAATTTGAGCTGAATTTCTTCTTTTTCCACCAGTTCTGTTACATGATAAACAGCGGTGAGTAAACTCCTACTTTTTCTATCAGTGATGTACACCCACCAATACTCTTGCTTGTCCTGTAAATAGAAGAAATAAAGCAATCGTTTTAGAAAAAAGACTCAACAACTGTATATTTTTTTAGTCGATAATCGTTCTCTATTTTTACAAGTTACATCTAAATATCTTATTTCTGTATAGAAGTCGATATGTTTAATAAATAAATAAATAAATAAATAAAAGAAAAAAGCAATCGTTTTCAGTTCTTCTGTAATTATGAATCGATTTAAAATCAAAAATAGAAAAACTATTCATAGCATGGGTTTACAGAGTTGCTATTTTGTACACGTGTACAAAGCAGAAAAGGAATATCGAAGAGCATTTTACTATTAAACAGCGAAAACTAAAGGAAAATTTCCAACTCTGTGATGGCAAGCCACCATGATTCAAATCCTTTATATCAAACGCAAAATACAAAACAGCATTTCAAAGGATGCAATTGAGGAAGTTTCATTGTCAGGAATCAATATCTTCAAGAAATCCGGATAACTGTCTTTAAACCTTGGGATTACCAAATTTTGTTTCTTTCAAAATCAAATAAATTTCTTTATTTACCATTTTCTAAACAGCCCACAGGCACTAATCTTATATTTAATCCTCCAATTCTTTACACTCAGCTCCATGCAACCCTTGTGTGAGGCCATCCAACTAGGGTCACCTAGCTGTGAGTTGAACATGGGACCTCCTGATCATGGGGGCAGCGCTACAAACACTACACTCTAGGAGCTAAAATAGCGAAAATTGCAAGTGATAGAGGATTATTTAATCTCAGGTGATAATGCAGTGCGCCAAATTCAAGAATGCTATATTTTCATACCACAGACACTGTTACTGTGACATTTAGTGTGCGATTAAACTGAATAGGATTATGGTTTTTTCATGAGCAGGAGGTCTGAATTGATCGATTAAAAAACATCAATATATATCTTGATTAGGAGTTACTTTCAATAATTTCCAACACACAAATCGTTTTCTACGAGAAATTTTGAAAAGAAAGCATAAATAATGATGCACCTTGTCAGGTAGTCTATTGCTAATTTCCAGAAGACTTGAAAAATTTCCTGATGCATTCAAATTTATAGCATGATTATGGCTTAAAGAATGAGTCAGGAGGCCTCAATCAAAGTTCCTTTAGAAAGAGAGACGAACTCACCTCAGGGAAGTACGGACAGTGTACCGAGTGAGAGACTTTACTTCTTCCTTCAAGTGCTTTGTCACGTTTATTTGCACCGGTTTGGAATTTTTCCCAGTCATCATCATCATCTTCTGAATTCGTATCCTGCTATAAAAAAAATAAAATAAAATAATACTTCTCTTGAGAAGAAAGGAACAGGAAAAGAGCAGACAAATGGATTTATGGGTAGATAAAAAATAAGCATTGGAGCTTATCTTAGTGGATTTTAACATTCTGAGCTAGTAAAAGGGATCAAGTTTTTCCTAAACTTAACGAAGACAACCTTAGTTGTATCAAGTTGAGCAAGAACTGCTAAGGTCCATTTTTCCAGTCTCGAGTATTTTTGGGTTGATAATACTTTTCAGAGTTAGATGCAACCATAAAAGTGGTCTTTATACTCGTTTTAGGGTTATCTTAATCCCAAAACGAGTCCTTGCAGCACTTTCATGATTGCACCAATTATTCGAAAGAATTATAAACACAAATAAATTCAAAGCTGGAAAAGTGAACATTGGTGGTTCTCGCACTACACGATTCAATTATCCTTGAGCAAGCTGTGTCATTTTTCAAAATCTGGCGCACAATAAAGAAATAGTCTTGTTGTCATAGAAAAAGTTTCTATCAGTGTTCCAATATTCTTGTTGTCTTCGGGTAAATGGCAAGTGAAGGTCAAATCTTAACAATAAAAGCAAGATATTCGTGATTTTTGTAAGAGTGCACGATCACTGATTTTTATCATTGCTCTTGTCTTGGTTTGCCTGATGCACCCCTCACTTCTAAAAAATGCTTTAGAAGCAGAGGCATAAAAAAAACAGTGGTAAAATCTGATAGTTTAGAGCTGCTTTAGATTTTGTGAGAGTGATTTTCAATGAAAAAATTTAAAGAGACTTACAGTCTTGCTTATATTCCCATTCCCCACGTTGCTTTTTTCACTAGAGGTATGTTCTGGTGTTTCATTGAGAATCATTGATCCTGTTGATTCTTTCGACTTGGTGGACTGAAAATAAAAGCAAAACATTAAAAGTTGAAAAAGATGGAGTCAGATCGGAACAAAACAAACTATTTGCGGTAGATGTTAAATGAGTAAAGTAATGAGTAGCTAAACTGATCATCAAAAATGAAACTAATGAGTAAGAGGGACAAGTTAGTGAGAGATATGAGGGCATTTATTAGCTAAGTGGTTGGCTACAATATTATGCACTTTAGTGTACATTTAGTCAAAGACCGTTTTCCGTACAACATTCAATACGGACAGGACAAAGAAGAGACAAAGAAAAATGTATATATTCATGCTTCTAAATCAATCGGATCAAGTTAAGAGAGAAGAACAAAGTCAAATTTCCTTAAAAAACAAAGAATTACTCATGTGAGGTATTTTAATTTTTAAATTTGCGAGTATTGAAGTTTCTATTGCCTGAAATCAACAAAAAGTAAAAGATTTTTACTAATTTTCAAACAGCCCTGAGGGCTAAATCGCTTAATTCTCCAGTCCCCATACACCCAGCCATAGGTAAACTTCGCCTGAAACCATCAAACTCAGGTCACTTGGCCAGGAATCGAACCTGGCACCTCCTGATCATAGGGCAAGCGTTACAACCACTTCCAAAAGAGGCTAACAAACTCAAGGTATTGCAGGAGCTTTGGAGCAATTGTTGCAAGTCTAATAACATAAAGCTAGTGCTTGAGAATCATCTCGAGTTGAACCAGCTCTTTCTTATGACTAGATTTCAAAACAGGGTGTAACATTTAATGGAGACTACAATAACAAAACATAAAAAAAAAAAAAATTCTCATTTGATACATTTTTATCTGCATTTTTACTATTAGTGTATGACGCTTTCTAATTTTTAGTCATTCACGTAACAATGAGGGTAATGCTTTTTGAAAAACTCTCGTTCAAGTAATCTTGGGTACGAGAAAGTAGGACTGAAATTAGGGCAATCTAACTTTGAAAAACAATTTTAAAGCTTCAAGATCTTCTACATTTCCTTCAATAGTGAGTAGAAGTAGGATAGGACGAGACGATAGTGTGATAGAAAAAGAGGACTTACAGCAGCACTATTTGATTTCTTGGCATTGGCATGAATTTGCTCTTTGATGAGTTTCCTCTCATTTCTTTGTTTGCCTTTACCCGCTTTCTTCCCTGGTTTTTGTTGTGCAGCTACTTTCTAAAGTAGGGAGAAAAATACAAATATCAAAACCAGGGTGGTGGGAAAAGGTGATGCTACACTGATCTCAATTTTTGTTGATTGCTGGAAGTTTCAAGTTGAACTGTTTGAATGAAACCGCCAAATGGAATGATACATTTTAAGGTTTACTTATGAATAAATCATAGACAATATACACTAATGATGGAATTTTATGCCGTTCATGGAAATATTATTATCTATCATGCAGATTATTACTAACTGTCCAACTATATATAGTGAAAATCCGATTAAACAACTTTCTAGGGACCAGCCTCATTTAGTTGTTGTATAGCTGATTGTCATTTTAACCAAGGCGATGCATGTCTACATTGAATCGATAGGATTCCAGTTAAAGGACCAACTATGTCATTTTGTCATGCCCAATATATTGTTATAAGATATGCCGTGATATCAGCTTTTCACTGTTGCAAAAGTTTACTCATACAGAAATTTTTATTTTTCAGGATTTAATTTTGAAGTTCGCAGTAAGAAGACAGAGCAACAATTAAGACCAGACTTTTAAATGTATATAAGGTGGTGTCTCAGCAAAGGCCAGTTCGAAAATTCAATGAATCTCATTTCGACAAAGCTTTTTCACTCAAGGAATTATTGTCGATTTTACACTTTTTAGGGAGAGTACAAAAAATTAACTCACCTCTGCAGCTAATTTAGCATTGTTCTTATCTTCATAAGTTTCGACTTTTTCACCTTTCTCATCACCGAATAAAATTGACATATTCCTACGCCATAAGGTGCAAGTAACAGTTACAGTTGCACCAGCAGTATAAACAGTGGATGTATCATCATCGATTACTGAAAAATTAACAAAAATTCAATTTATAAAAAGAAAAAAAAAACAAACAATTGGGCAGGCTACTTAAGTCCTACTTGGGATTAAAGGTCATCTGAAGCCTTCATTTAGTTGTTTACATTCAGTGCTGGTCATATTTTGGCTATTAAAATTCATGCTTTTACAAGTCCTAGCTGATAAAGTATACTTTGGGTGATATTGTGAATATCAGCAATATCTTTAAAGGATTTTGGCTCTTAAAAGTTTGAAGTCTAGAGAAATGAAATTAGGGAAAATGTATAAGGAGGGTATTGCCATCTTGATCCTTTAACCACAAATGAAAAGTGTCACTCTTTAATTGATTGGCGAATTTTAGGCTTTCATAATATCCCTTCTGCACTTAGTTGTGGACCAGGGTAGAGAAACTAGACAACAACAACAGAGTTCTAGACGTAATAGGAATTTTCTTATTTCCAACTTCTGAATTGAGTTCTGAACAAACTTTAATGGATATTTTCGCTGACAATTACGCTTTTTGTGTGATTATAATTAATTTCGTACCAGTTTACACAAATTCCTCTTGATCAGGTTTGATTACATTGGTCCACAAAAGCCCTTTGGGAAGTATAAAACTGATGTACCAATCAGAGAGCAGCACAAAAATGGCAATTTTCTCCCTCAGTAGGTGCTCTACATGAAATCACTGTGATTCATCAAAAATCTTCCTGATTTCCATTAACATTTTTGGTCTTCTTTTTATTTACAAAATAAAATTAATTAATGTAAGTTAAGCAGGAATGTGTTGGCGAAAAGCGTCAGCTGTTTTGTAAAGTTTTGATTCCTCCAGTTTTTCATTTCTCAGTTTTTCAGTTCGGTATGATACCTTGCCCATAAAGGTGATCTAAAAGCGTCCTCCGAGTGTTATTTCTTTCCATACCACCTTTAGCTTTTACCTTTAGCCTTTAGGTTATGGGCCCAGCACGCTAGGAGATTCAACGGACAGGAAAAGTACCACTGGGTTTTTCTTCAAACTGTTTGGTGTGTGCACCGTTAGTTGGAATACAAAGAAACAGAAATCTGTTGCTGCCTCGTCTACAGAGGCAGAATACATGGCCCTATTTGAAGGGGTTAGGGAAGCTCTCTGGTTGAAGTCATTACTGCATAGCGTAAATTTGGCAATACAACGGCCAATCCCTATCTATGAGGATAATAACGGTTGTATTAGCATTGCTAACAACCCGTCTAGTCATAAAAGATCGAAACACATCGATATTAAATATCACTTTTCCCGAGAGCAAGTTGAAGAAAATACTATTATCCTTCATCATTTGTCCACAGGTGATCAGCCAGCAGATCTGCTCACGAAGCCTCTACCAACTCCGACCTTCTTGAAATTCAGAGCTGAATTTGGGCTCCAATCAGCCAGTACCGAGTGAGAGATTTGATGAGGTTTTCATCTGGGTTNTCATTTCTCAGTTTTTCAGTTCGGTATGATACCTTGCCCATAAAGGTGATCTAAAAGCGTCCTCCGAGTGTTATTTCTTTCCATACCACCTTTAGCTTTTACCTTTAGCCTTTAGAATGCTTAGTTGCTCAAATGAAAAGGTTCCAAAAAACTCAAACAAGGCTAAAATATTAAGATACATTAGTGAGAAGATTAAATTAACATGGCGAGGTAAAAAAACTACACACCTTCAGATTTAACTGAAAAATCTAAGTAAGGCATTCTTCCTAGCACTTTCATGACATCTTCGTACTCTTCATCTGTCAAGAAGCGGAACATGTTTCGTCTATCCTCGTTTTTCAGTCTGGCGAGCTGAATTAAGGTTCTAATTTGTCTCTGAAAAAATAAAAAGTTGACAAGGATTAAATTTGTAGAGACCACATAAGCAAAATGAAATAACAGCTGCAGGGGTTTCATATTTTTGTTTTGTGTATAACATCACATTCTCAAACGCCCATTAATAAGATTTTTTAACTTCATTGATACAATAAAAAGCAAACACCGGTTGTAAGTTGCTTCTTACATATGTTTGTAAATGAGACGGATCATGCGCATTAGTTGGTCTGTCTATGAGGCAAAAAGCACCAGAGGCTTCCATGTTTTGATAAATAAAGTCAGTGATTAAAATTTACCTTATTATTATTGAAACAACGAAGAGTATTTTGATAAATAAGGTCAGTGATTAAAATTTACCTTATTATTATTGAAACAACGAAGAGTATCCTCTGTGACATAAGGCAACTGTAAAAGAGGGCTTTTATGTTCCCACAGTGCTTGAACAATCATGGGAGAAAGTTTCATACAATTTTCTACTGTTTCGATGTAAATGAATTTTGACTCTGGAAATAAAGAAGAAAAAAGATTAACAATATAAAAACTTCTAGGTCAGAGGTAATAGATTCAAGAGAGTAGTTGATTCGAGGGTATTTTAAATTAGTACTTATTCAATGTTTGTGATGCAAAAAAAGGGGGAAAAGGGATGATAAATAGACATCACCAATTTATAAAAGAAAGATTATAAGTAGATGAATGCGCATATGCAGGCCTACAGAAAGTATGGTGTAACAGGACTGGGAAGTCACATGTGCGAATTGTATGTAATGGAGTATTTACTTTTTTTTTTGGGGGAGGGGACACTTCTTTGCAAAAATATCTTCAATACGAGAGATTCTTTTACAAAAATTTCATCAATTGCGGAGACTTCTTGGCAAAGAGATCATAAGTTATGGAAACTCCTTCGCAGATAACAAACACACATGTATCTATCAAAGAGGAGATTTTCCAGAGGCTGGCATCTTTCTATCTCTTTTTGAACGCCATGCATCCAACGTTTAGATGATAGTCCTCTACGACATGAAAGGTTAAGGAGATAGAAATTTGGGACCTGGACTTACCTCCGCCAGAATAATATGAGAATTTTATTAGTTGAACGACACAATTGATCATTTCATTGATCAGTGCTGGACACTTCTTGATCACATACATACGATCTCTGTCCAGTGTTTCTGGATTCAGAGGAATTCTGGAAAGGTGTGCATGAATGAGAGCTCTGGCTTTGATAGAGTATTTGTAACATAGTGGCCTTTCTCGATTCTTTTCTCCTAAATTTTCAATTTGCTTCATCAGCTGAAAAAAATCATGATCATGAGTAAAGATTCAGGACAAATCAATTCAATCTCTTAGGCCTAGATGTCAGCCAACTGAGATGACTTTCATTGGTAGAATTGCACTAAAATTGAGTGCATCAAAACTATTTGAAACCCACACCTAAATGCATAATCTGAGTAGTTTATACTGGACATTTTTGAAATGCTGCATCCACAAACAATATTTCACAGCCATAGTCAATTACGTTAACACTAAGAGAGATCTTACAGACATAACTTAGATGAATAAATGAACAAAAAATCTGGCAAACAATCTTTTGTACACTTAATTTCCATAATTATCAGTTTTTAATCATTTTTCCATCCATTATTCTGTAAATATGTAAAAAACAAACATTTGAATACAAATCAATAACCTGTTTTAATTAATAAGTACATTCTTTCAAATTCTATGCATACATTAAGGGTCAAAAACTGATGAGACTTAAAGCTGATTCATTACAGCTGATCAGGTTTGTAATTTGGTGTGAGTATTGACTGTCTGTATTTCTTCTGCATGTAGAAGGAAAAAGTGCTTCAAAGCATAATATCACAGAGACAAATGGGGAGATTTGTATACTTACTTTTGGCACTTCATAGTTATCAGATTCTCGCTCAACAATCTCACTGTTGAACCTTCGCTCAAATTCGTAGGATGCACCGATAAGCATGATAACTCTCTTCAGTTGCATAAAAGGTGTGAGTGGTATAAATGCATAATACGTTCTAATTGTTTCTAACAGAACCTGAAAAATTAATGGGTAAAAAGAGATCAGCAATTAAGAATAACTCAGTATACATTATACAATGTCGAAAACTTCATCTCACAGCTATGAGTAAACAGCTTATGAAGATATGAATTCTAACACAAATAAATGTGACTGCACACAGGAAAAGTGACCTTAGTCCTAGGAAGCAAAATTTCCAGAAGAGCGATTTCTGTTGAGTTATGTTTTAACATCAGATTTTGAGATTTTGATGGGAAACGCTCTGCTGTGTTCTACAGAATAAGTTGCAAACGGTTTGATTCATTTTTGTACCAATGGAGGGCCCAAGATTGCATTATTATCCGGATTTTTGTACCCAGAGTGTGGCAGAGATGAATTTGAAGAAGCTTTCCTTCTACCTAAACTACATTTTTTCAGTCGCAAAATTCAAATCATCATAACAATGATTTGGTTTAACATATTTGGGCAATTTTTGCACCAAAATTATTTTAAAACGATCGTTTATGGTCTGTTATCAAACACTTAGTTTTGAAATCTTTTAGACCAGAGTCCTTCTACCCAGGGACAGTCCCATATTACATCAACAGACTACATAGCAAGTGTCTAGTCATTTTGCTAATCAAAATAACTTTCTGTGACAGCTATCTTAAAGGGGTTGATATTTAAAATGCATGCATAAAATAAAAAAAAAAAGTTGTTGAGAAAGAGAAAATATTTTGATTACTAGGAAAGCAGAATAGAATATCTTTGACACAGGCTAATGACATGGAATCCAAACTTAAGTAAACAAAAAAAGGGGGACAAATGTAATAAGGTAAAAATAGAATATTATGAACTTACTTGATTACTCGAATATCTGATGGATTTATACCACCACATTCCCACGATGGTGGGCAGGGCAACCATAAATACGAGGGCATAGAGCCCAAGGACCCATATGGAGTTCTCCTTCTCAACAATCCACGAGGGCAAAGCAATACCAAAACTCATGGCACCAGGTCCATCAGGGTTTCCGTATTTTTCCCAATTACGACGTGATTCATCATCCGTCAGAGCCTGATAAGCTGAAATGTAAATAAATAAAGAGTCATAAGAAATAGGTTATAACAACGAAACATCTGCGAAATAAGAAAAAAAGAATTTTAAATGAAAGTCATGCATATTTAACAGTTTAGTTAGACTATTTCAATAGATATAATGTACATTCCCATACACAAATGAAACATATCGACATAGTAAGTCGGGAATCACATATCTCATTTGCGGAGTCTGAAAATTTCTGTCTCTACGTTATTTTTTTAAAGGAGAAAAAATTGACATCATTCCTTGAAGTTTTTGCGGAATTTTCTTCGCACAGAGAAGACAAATTTCGGCATTTTTAAGGAATTGCCATTGAGTAGTTTTCCGTTTAAAAAATGGAGTATGACAGGAAGTCTTTGACGTCCCAAACCAAGTTATGTGATTGCCAACTTACACCGTCGATAAATTGGTTAATTTATTCTCAGGGATGCAATGTGTACCAACAAGTTCAGCTTAAAACTTTCCTATTAAACGGCTTAACACACTCCGGAGTGCTACAGCAAAGTTTAAAAAAGCGTTGAATATAATGCAATGGGGCTGGATACCAAGACAATGATCTGAGTACAACTTCTTAGATATTATTTTTCCAATTTCCTTCACGCAAGTTCTTTCTTTATTTTCTTCTGGAATTTTGACAGACGTGCAAACTCTTTGATGAAGCATCTTACAATTCTAAAGCAACAGTCTGAAAATGAATACCTACAAAAAATTAGTTCAGGAAGTAAAAGTAAAAAACTTTTAATTTACCCTTTGTTAACTTCATGAAGGCTTTCTCATCTCCTGTTTCTTTATCCGGATGGTAAATTAGGGTCAACTTCCTGTACGCTTTCTTGATTTCACTTTCTTTGGCACCCTGGTAAAAATATAAAAAAAAAATTAACAAAAATTACAAAAACAAATAAAAACTGTACCATCAATGATATTTTTATGAGACAAAACTGACAGATTAATTTTTGCCTGAAATCAATTTCCGATTTTCTATTAGAATACAGCTGAGAATAAAATTTTTTACAAAGTATGCCATTTCGAAAGCAATTCTTCCATTTTAAGTGAACCAAATAACATTTTCTTAATTTCAATTTTCTCTCATGACTTGAATATTTGTTTGAGAAACAAACAGAATTTTGAGCAAATCAAGCACTACTTTCAAGCTTCCTGAGAGGCTAATTATTTTAAATTTCAAAGACTTGGAAGACCACAGACTAGAACTTACATGCATGAATTATGAAAATAGAAAATTTCCTAGAATGGCTGAATTAGTTATTTAAATATATTCAAAATCATGAAAAGAGGAGTTCCTATAGATACTTATACTACCTATTAGTTACTGCAGTTGAGGTAATATCGATCACCAAAAAAGAGTTTTTGAGCCCAGAAGGATTACGTTCAACTCAGTGTTCAGTGCAAAATGAACCGCTATCAAGACGTTCAAAATATTGGTTACACACATTTTTATCAGAGCAGCAAACCTTTTATACCACCTTGAGCTTAATATTACATGTTTTTATGAATTTTATTTCAAGGCGAAAGTAAAACGCAGATATTGCTAATCTATAGGCTACAACTAGCTCAATATACATCTAAAGAATAAAGCATTAAAACAGTTTATGAAATCTCTTACCATCTTGACACCAAGAATATCATAGGGATCAAAATTTGCATATTCATAGTCAAATTGAAACACTCTATATGTTAAGTAGCCTAATGCAACCCAGCCTGCTAGAAGAATTAATTTTCTGTAAAAAGAAAAAAAAGGCACATTTGAATTAGACGAAAGCAATTGACAAGATCATTAAACATCAAGCAATGAAATGCAATTAATATTCTGAGATACGCTTGCAGCAATGGGACACTCTTATGCATTTATGGGTTATTTTAGCTGAAATGGGTATAGTATTATTTCTCTTAACATTCAAAAATAAAAATCATCATTATTATGTATTGCCTTGGATTGATAAGAAATAATAACAGTATGATAATACTTAAGTGGCTGGGAAAGGGAGTATGGAGAGTGCATTTATTTTGATCAGCTGATTTTACAGACCTATGAGGCGAAATGTCAGTGCTATTCCTGAATATTGCTCTAATTTTAGAGTGCAACAGAAACAATTTGACCTGAACACTCAATAAAACTCTCTCGAAATGTGAGAATTATTGTGTTAGGTGATACTAATCTTTGCATTGAAACCATTGATTGCTGTCCTTTCTTTCAATTAAGTACAATCAGTAAATAAAACAAGGAGCATCGAAAAATACACCTTAAAACTGTAGTCATTTATAGAACTACTTCAATGAAGTCTGCAAGGATTCACTGTTGTGCCAAGGACCAAAATCGGAAGTGCATTTTGACACCGATATGTTTTTTCTGATAAAAACAAATTTTCTGGAAAAATCAAGATTATGTCCATTGTATTTCATGTATCATGGCATCAGGCAGAAAAGTCATTAATTATTGAGGTCTGTGTACTATTTAATTTGTGGATTTCAGCACAGGTTGTTGGTGCCTGTGTCAGAAAGATTTGTTCAGTTTTAATGGCAACACACTTTCAAGCAAATGAGGTCAAAATTTCAAGCCATAATTTGGATTGATAAGGATGTGATAAAACACTTGCAAATGAATCATAGAAAAAGTGGCAACTGTGCCTGCCAAATTTCACCAGTTTTTTTCGTATTCCCAATTAACTGCTATTTGACTTTGATACGTATGCAAGAGGTCAATTCTTGGAACAATTGGGCATAGAGACAAAAAGGAGGTGTTTGCATTATGGGCATCTTGGACTTTTATTGATGACGTAGGTCGGTACAGCGACTTTTATCATCGTTTTCTTGGAAATGGTGTATTTTATGGTAAAAATGCATTCTACATGAAGTATTTGAAATTATTTCATGAGTTGATTAAAGCAAAAAAAATCGGACATTATGGGCCGTTTTTCGTATTTCGAATTCTGGATTTTGCTGACCAGGTTGTACCGACCTACGTCACAAGGTACACAATACTCAAGATGCAAACATCTACTTTTTTTTCTCTACGACAATTGGGTGTTCTTTGCATCAAATCATACAGAATAAACTCCTGGAGGAGTAAGATTTTCTTTACTTCTCCTTTCCATCTTACGAACCATTATCCTTGACTTCCATCACATAGTCAGTGTAAATGTATTAAAGTACAGAGCTCTATTGATCACTTACATAAACAATCGTTTGATTCCTTTCCAGGAATCACTGGATCTCCGAAGTTGTTTTTTCTTTTTACACCCATCACAACGGCATTCTGCTTCTCCTCGCCTGGAGTCTAAACATAAAATTGAAAATGTATTAAAAATTTCATTAAGTATCCAAAAAAATCAAGGTCTAGAGCTGGAGCATCGTATGTTGAGAAAAACGACAATCTCCCATTAGCTCTGAATTTGCACCACTCAACAGGTTAATACATGTAGTCAGGTGGCACCACTGGTGAATGGTGACATAAACAATATTTCTACGTTTGTCTCAACATATGATGCGCAAGCTCTAACTCTGACTTTACAGACAGATCTCTCTCTACAAATCAATGGATGAAGTTTGATTAGATTGGCCTCTAATGATTTAAGTTTTTTCATAGGTACTTCAAATTAAATATCGCTTAAAATATAATCGGCAAACAGCGACTTCTTTTTCTTTGAAGCACAATAACTTACTCATCAAAAAGAGCCTAAGATTAAGAACATATGCTCTGGAATTTTAGTGGTAAAAGAGTTTCATCTTCTCATTCTCACTTCATTAGGAAACATCTTCGCTGATCAAGCTTAGGTAAAATTGTTCATCCGGAGAGACTAATGTACTCTTAGTCCGTGATATGACTCAAAATTACCCCTTTCATTCAGTGCAAGACTGAATATTCAAAACTTCGAAATTCTAAAAAAATGCACTTGAGATGAGGGTTTCAACAGATCATCGATTCCTCTAAGTTAAAGTTTGCCCTATGATTGATAAACTCTCACATGTAAATGATAAAAATAAACAGGGCAGTCAGACGTGAGTGAAAAATAGGACACACAGGGAAAAGTTCAAACTGTTAACCACAAGGTCAAGCATATTGAAGCATGAGAAAGATTAGGGACAAGTAATGGTTGGATTGTAACAATCAAGATGGTTAGCTTCCTAGCTTTTGAGACATGCTAGAATGAGTGCAATCAACTATTCTTTGTTCCCTGCAGCGTTATAATTTGTCGGATTCTGTGATAAGATATTCAATTACATATTGGCAATTCTGGCCTGAATTTAAGTTATACTAAATGCATAGCTAAGAGCTACGAGTTGGGAATGCATTTACATACCTTCCTTGTCTGCGCTGGGCCACCAACAGTAGGTTCCAGGAATGAGAAGAAGAGCTAAAAATGAGATAAGGAAGTAAAAGAATGTTCCACCACTTTCATCGTACTGAAATTTTTGTCCTCCCATTTTGTTAGTTGTTGAGGTTTAGTTATATTTGGTGTGTATCGAGGCAGTTATCACAATAATAAAATATTGGGGTTAAGGAAGTTTGAAGGGACACATCACCGGTTCAACATGTTCATCCAAGTAGAATTGCTTCTGGGGATAATTAGACGATGACGCTTCACTAAAATCAAACTACCGAAGGTGATGAAAGATAATATTTCTGCAAAAACCGTTAATCAAAAAATTGGGCCGGATATTGAGGTGGATCATCGGTACCAGACGGACTTCCACGAAACGCACTGATTTTCGGGCGCAATTATGATGATATACACTTCACTCGATTAGTGCGGACTAAAAGCTTCGAAGATTGATAAATATAAGAAATAGCAGAACTTGGAAACGCACAAATTATTGAAATTTCGCAGAGTCAATCTGGGAGACCTGTCTTCTTTGCTGACTTGGTCTGACAACATAACCTAAAAATATTAATAGCGGCATTGCCAACTGCTGAGAGCTAGACTGATTTCTTACCCAATAACCGAAATCTTTCAGTATCGTGGAAAATCTAAACTTTGAGTTATTCTTGATTGATCATAGTCACATTAAATTATTTAATTATTTTGCTGAACGATAGGTTGAAAAGTTGCAAAATTTTATCTCAGAGACTCCGTAGACTCCAAAAGGACGTATAACCCGTCACCGGATAGTGGGAACGGTGTAAAAGAAGTAGGTTGGCGATCCCGACGAAAGTGAACACGACGATCAAAAATTTCTTTGACGTGGCGGAAATCACTCAAATTAGGTCCTTTTTTCACTGCTTTCTTTTTTTCGGCATTTCACATTTTACTCGTATAAGACTTAGTGAATCGTTACCTACGCTGTATGATCACCAGGGAGATAGATCTACATTACCATACAAAAAGAAGAAGAGAAAAACTAAAATTAATGTGAATGAGATTTCATACTCGGTAGGTAAACATTCTTCAATTTCAATACCTTCATACCTGAAGAAGATTCCAAGCATATTTGGTCATCAGCAGGACGTAGGACATGGGGCGCAGCCAGGACCGGACAGTCCACGGGTGCCGCGGTGCTGTTGCACCCCAGGCCCTCGGCCTCTTTTTTTTTACCAGCCCTGGTAAAAATTGGCAGTAGAATCTGTGTTCCAAAATACCATAGACCTACAGCCGGCTGTAAGATTTCCAATAGCTTCTATAGCCGGCTACACAATGTCTTATAGCCTTTTACAGCCGATGGCGATTAAGCAACAGCCAGGCGATAAAGTGTATGCTAAACGTTACTAATTATGGATGCTAGTACTTAGTGAGTTTTTGGAATACTGCTCTCTTTTTGGACCGTAGTATCTTGATTTATTTTGCGAGGAAAGCTCCGTACTTTTAATGGATGCCTGCCATTACTAATTTATTAGAGCGTCTTCAGTTTCATACCTCTGGTGTGAAATAGTTGCTTCAAGCGCCGTGGCACGCTGCAGCGAGGCGGGCGGGCGGCCAGCGCGAAACGCGCATTGGCGCCTACAAACCTAACAGGGATACTTCACGCATTGCGCAATGCGTGAAGTATCCCTGTTAGGTTTGTAGGCGCCAGTGCGTCGCCGCTCCGCTTTGTGTTAGGCTTTAATATTTAATCTCGTGGAGTCAGCGTTGTTCAACTCATGACTTTGAAATGTTTGCACACTCTGTATGGATTATTCTCATTTTAATTGATGAAAACAAATATGTAGTGAAGGAAAACATAATGTGCGTTTTGTATATATTATGGTGATTCCGTACAAACTTAAGGATTTACAAAGCACCCGAATTTCTACACAATTTCTTATAGCCTTTTATAATCGATGGCGAAAAAGCAACAGCCAGGCGATAAAGTGTAAAGCCCGGCGATAGGAACTATAGCCCGGCGGCATAATTTTTTATCGCTTCGTATAGCCCGGCCGTATGATTTTCTCCGCATTCTACAGCCAGCTATATGATTTTCTGTAGCCTTCTTTAGGCGGCTATAAGATTCCTATCGTATTTTGAAACGCAGCTCTTATCGCCAATTTTTACCAGGGAGATGACCTGCAGCTAGGTGACTCAAAATTAAGATTTTTCACCAGTACATAACCGATCACGGAAAATCATTTGAGCTTCTGGGGGGTTGAGTAGGCCATAAGAGTGTATCCTTCAAAGACTCGAAATTATTTTTTTTTAAATCTTTAATTCTTTAAAATCTGACATGACGGGCCCTAGCGGAAATGTGCTTTCCGCCCGAGAGGTCCCGGCATTGAGAGGGTGATCTTGGGAAGATCTTTTAAGAAAGTGTGGGGCTTCGAACTGCTGGGTCCCGAAAATTTATTATTTTTTATTCGACGGGCCTTCCCGTTAGGGCCCCGAGCCCCTTTGGAGGAGCGCGAATAGTTGCATAGAACCACACATATATCTCATTCTATAAACTTCGCAACAGCCAATAAAGAACGCGCGAACCCATTGGCAAGTATAGTCCACCTTAGGTCCATACCCGCAATTTCGCCGTTTAGGAAAATTTGCAGGCGAGCGCGAATAGATATTTACTCGAAAAAGAGAGAGAAAAATAAGACTTAAATTTCGCTGCATAAACTTTGGTAAAGCCAATAAACAAATCGTAAACCCACTGGCTGGTATCGTCGACGTAAAGTCCGCCTTCAATTCTGCCATATAGGCAACAAATACACCGAAAAGCGCGAATAGTTATCTCATCAGAAAACTCACATGTATGTTACTCCATTAATTTCGATAAAGGCAGTAAAGAATGTGAACGCCGAACCTATTGGCAGTTTTAAATCGCCCTTCTTAGCTTTTCATCGGGATTGTGTGGCTATTTTGAAATTGCATTCTGAATTTGATCGCGCACGATTTGAACCGGCAAAATTGCAATCTGAAAAGTATCCTCTTTCTTAAATCACAAAAAAATTTGAAATGGAAATTTTTACTCATTTTAATTTTTGCTTTTGGATCGAATCATGCAAATGAATCAGTTTTTATAGCACGGAACGCCTGTGCTTTCAATATTTAAAGCAATTTCCTGACGATTCGAGGAATATTTTTCTCATGTTTATCCAGATGTGAAACTGAACTATAGGTACTTAAAGATGTACATACATTCGGTTATTTGTGCACGACGAACCTGCATGGTGCAATTTATTACCCATAGTATTTTTTCAAAGTGATAATGCCAAGAAATTATATTTATACATGCAGGCATCTTCATGTCAGGCGAATGTCACAACCAAACTTCTGAAACTCTATGCCTCCCTTAATTCAAAAATCTAAATTCTTGTATATGCACCCATCTTCCAAATTCTTTGCAAAGACGTGAATAGCCTATGATGCAGAATGTCTATAAATAAATTAACTAACTAACTAACTCTCTATAAAATTGCGACAATTTCATACCAATTCAATTTCAAAATCAATGAAAATTGAATTCAATGCAGGGCCGGATTTACCTATTTGCCGCCCAGGGACGCCTGTATTTTGCCGCCCCTTCGCATTCGTTTTGAAACATCGATACAACCCATCAAGTGAACGTGCCAGCGGGGGAGGGGTGCATAAGACGCGTTTACTCGTGTTGGGCCCATTTTTTGTGAAAGCCCTGTCAACACCAGCAAAAGTTCACGGAACTTTGCGCGAAAATTAAGTTCCGTAAACCTATCTCTGTGTGGACGAGGCCTTTCATTTATAAGAGAAGAACTAAAAAATTATAAAAGAATAAACATGAATGTGGTTTAATGATTTTAATTTCCGCCACTGCGGCAACTGCACAGTGTTTGGCGCAATGCGTGAAGTATTCATGCAGTCTTGTAGGCGCTATGCGTCTCACGCCGACCGCTGGCTGCTGCTGACCAGGACCACACTGTTTTTGACGCAATTCGCGAAGTATTCATCGAGTCTTGTAGGCGCTAATATGCGTTTCATGCTGACCGGCGCGCCGAGGGCTTCTCCTTTCCATCTCAAGTTTTCGTCATCATGCTCTTTGCGCCGCGCCGCTCCAGGCCAAATTGCGTGTTTGGTTTCTCTCTCAACTAGACTAATGAGAGACGCTGTCTCTTGTATCACCGAAAAACGAGCAAATTAGAAATTACTATACTTTAACTCTCAGGAAATGAGAGATTTTTTCGCCTTCTCTCGATTGTATTTTTTTTTCTAAATCAGATTTTTTCTTGATACCTACGTTTGAAAACATTACAACATTTGACGCCCTCTAAATTTGCCGCCATGGGCCGCGGCCCATGTGGCCACCCCCTAAATCCGGCCCTGGTTCATTGTTTCCCACTTCTGGCTCCCAGTGTTAGCGCAGGAATTTGGAGTAACGTGAAAGCGAAATACCTGATAGGATCATTTTTTTGAAGCGCCGCACAGTGAATCGAGTTAATAAGAGAGGTCGGACAACATTTGGAAACTTTAAAAGCTTATAACTCTCTTACATACAAAACTTTGAGGTCTTAAAATGGTTCCATTGGTTCCTCGTGAAATTTTATTTCAAGAACACCCCTTAAAATTTAAAATGCGACGAATGAAACATCAAACTATGCAGTTTTAGTTAAACATTTCATGGCCGACCTCTCTAATTGACTCGATTCACTCTGCGCCGCATATATATAGCCAATGTCTGGAAGAGCGTATCTGCGACAGCTAATTTGCAAATAGGTATCCGCTACATCATTTTCAAAAAATTCCATTTGTACTTAATTCAAAATACTAACAGAAAATTTTAAAGCGATTTTTGGGTCATGTACTTTTTCTTTAAACATCATAAAACATAATGAGAGCTTTCAATACACTGCAATTTTTACGCACTTTTTACGAACTCAGTTATCGATTTCTTGGAATTGATGCTCGCATCGCTCATCCAAATTTTTCGCACCATTAAACACAACCTTTCTGATAACCTGCACTCAAACTTTTGAAAAAGTCGTGTATTTGGTAATTTTACAAATGATTTATAACCCTGTCGTTTTGATTTATTAATGTAGCTTGTATCTAGTTATTGCCGGGATAAATAGCTTTAGCCCTAACTTTCAAAGCTCGCTCACAAACAGCGATACAAAACTTACTTCATGATAAAATTTATGGTCATCGAATGAAAAATGCGTACAGGTTTTGAAAAAGCATCCAATGAGCATTTGTTCGGGCCGAAACGGTACATTTTATGCCATATATTTATTAATGGCATGCATCATTGATTCGGCTGACCACGAATGCAAGGAAGATTTCAGAACAAATTGGTGGGAATGAGGAGTTAAGGTGCATAATTTATTTCTATAGGATCTATTTATAGTAGCACATTCCAAGAAAAATCGCAAGATGCTAGTCTGCGATAAATCTTGACCATTACCCTCATGCGACACTAATGCTTAGAAAATGTGCAAAGATCTCTCGAGCCCTAACAGCCCCCCGCCTTTGAAGCTAAGCCCCCTAAACCTCTTTTGG